GTTTTTTGGGTGCCAGAAGAGTGATTGGATATTGCCAAACATTTAGCCTGTGGCAAAAATTAGTCTGTTCCAAAAATTACCGTAAATGCTCTAATAGTGCTACCCTAACCGTGCTACCTGAACCGTCATCTTTGAGCCCCGATATCTCGGTTGCCTTGAAAGTGACCAAAAAGTTGTCAACTAATAAAATGTTCATCATAATACGGCAAGTACTTTGTCAGTTGACCACTTTTTGGTATCTTTTACAGGAAACCAGATATCTAGGTTCAAAGTTGACTGGTCGGAGGGCACTCTATTAGAATGTTTAAGGCATTGCCTAGGCCAATCATTTTTTTAAATTGGGGTTTTTTTTAAATTCTTCCAGCTATTCTAAATGCTTAAAGAGCATATCCCTTAAGCTAACCCTTACCCTGCTCACTAGTTCCTCTATTTGGCGCCAGAGCTCTCTAAAAGCCGCCAAAAGCTGCTCGCCGGCATCGTTAGTCAGGCTCAAAGGAGTCAGACCCAAGTGAGTCGCTTAATTACCCTTTGTTCTTATATGCAACTTCCCTGATAAGCCGACACTTATCATTTCGGCACTTCTTTTACCACAAGTTCTTAGTCATCTAACCCCATAACCGGTTGGTTGTCGTGGAAGCAATGAGTCGGAACCACTTTGAACGTTTTTTGGGGAACAAGTGATTCACTGTGAAGACGTTCCAGAAGGAATTTGGTTCTCAAGATGGCTCTGAACTTTGTTATCATATAGGTATAACCTATGTATCTGTTTTCCAAATGCCACCCCGCCGGTGCCAGTCACCAAAAAATGTTGATGAATGGGAAGAATAGCATTTGACTGTGGGAAACTCTAAAACGATTTTTCGTATGAATTGGAGAAAAGAGAGAGAAATGAGAAAAATAGGAAGAAAGTGCAATGTATAATGGGATACTTAATGACGGTACGGTAATTGGTTAAGAAAAGGGTAACTTTGAAATGGAAAGAAGAGCTTTCGAATTTGAAAAATTCTTGTACTTTAAAGGCGCATAAATCATTTTAAAATGTTCCAATCAATATGAAAATTATACTCCTAGATAGAGGATTTCAAGAGCTATAAGGCAGTATTAAATAGTATAAAGAAAATTTTTTACATTTTTTTGTGAAATCAAGTTTTTCTAGACTATCCACCTACACCTATGTGCAGTACCGGTCAATAAGACATCGTATTTTTCAGTGAATTTTCGGCATTTTCAGATGTCTGAAGCTCCGCTGTCAAGTTTCCGATCACTTTGAAAATTTCGGAGAGTGTAAAACAGGCCTAAATTGGAAATTTTGCATTAGTAAAGTTTTTCGAAATTTCATAGTTTATCAAAAATTTGCCGATTTCTGGGAGATACCACTTTTTGGCCCTTTTTCACTGAAAACGTAAAAAAAACGTGTGTCTAGCTGAAAAGCAAGTATCTGGAAAACTAGGAATTTTCAAAGAATTCTGAAAATGCAAAGGCTTCTAATCTAGGTCTGTTTTAAATCCTCTGAAACTTTCAAAATGATTGGAAACTTGGCATCCGAGCTTCAAACATCTGAAAATATATGTCTTATTGACCGGTACTGTACATAGGCGAAGTTTAGAAAAAATTTTTTCACTTTACTGTCTTGTAGCTCTTGAAATTCCCTATCTAGGGGTGTAATTTTCATATTGATTGGAACATTTGAAAATGCTTTATGCGCCTTTAAAGTACAAGAATATAATTTTTGGCTTTCCTCCCTGTAAGGGGTCCACAGCTCAAAATTTCAGTTTTCCCCCATTCATTTGCTTCCATAATAATATCTCGAGAAATTTCCCTTTCCATTCTTTTTCACTCTCACTATACGATCCCAGGTCAGTGGGGTGAATTGCTCATAAAGCCCACCACCACCGACGGGGTGGGGACTGTGGCGCAGCCCCCCATTCTAGCCTGTAGAGGGTGAAAGTGTCGGGGCTGTACAAAATGACTCAAAAAGGCGGTGTCTCTGAGTCTCTGCTGAACACCTGCACTTTTCCTCCACTCATTGCTTCTTCCCTCCTCGACGACAGGGCAACCCAAAAATGGACAACGCAAGACCTAGAGATGTAGAGAACTGTCTCCAGTGCCCCCCTCTTATCAATCAGTGCTCTTTTCTCTGCGCTCGACAGCTGGCGTCTCTCGCTCTCTTTCTACTCTATCTCATCTCTCCCATTCGATACCGTCGTCGTCGTCATTTGATAACGAAGTCACCCCCCAAAAGAGAGCACCCACCACCCTACATCAGACTGTCCTACTCGTATTGCACCAACTAGATTTGTCCTAATTTCGAGAAGAATCTAAAGACGATGTCGTCGCCAGCACTCAGTGAGGAAGAATTGTATTTGATGAAGGTAAGGTCAGGGTTCTAGTGTTCATGATCTACTCAATCTAAATTATATCTACAGTATGGCTAATTTACTGCTAGAGGGTTGATTTGGACTATTTCCAGGGGTCCGGAGCTTGTTTGAAGTTTTGGAGAGACGCAGACAGCTAGAGCGTCTCGTCGTCTGCGTCTCTAGCCATCCGAAACTTTGAATGGCTGTATCTCGGCTACCGGGAATCCTAAAAAAAATGATTTTGGTACCGAAATCGTTAGTTTTTGTTGTTCTTTCTTTTGGTTCAAGGTTTGAAAAGGATCATATTGAAAATTTTGGAGGGTATAAAACAAATCTAGATTGACAACTTTGTATTCACAGAATCTTCTAAAAGTTCCTAGTTTCTAAGTTACTTGCCGATTTCTGAGAGACACCCTTTTTTGGCAGTTTTGGTACTGAAGTCGTGGTGTGTCCTTCAGAAACAGGCAAAAAGCTAAAAATCTAGGAATCTCCCAGAAATTCTGTAAGTGCAAAGTTCTCAATCTAGGTCTGTTGTACACCCTCCAACGATTTCAATGCAATCCTTCTCAAGTTTTAAATTAAAAGAAAGAACAACAAAAACTAAAGATTTCGGTACCAAAATCATTTTTCTAGTACCCCTGGTAGCCGAGATACAGCCATTTGAAGTTTTGGAGGGCAAGAGACGCAGACGACGAGACGCTCTAACTGTCTACGTCTCTCCAAAACTTCAAACAAGCTCCAGACTCCTGGAAATGGTATATCTCATACTGTAGATTTTCTTTCTTTCTCATTTTCTTGCTTTTTCAAAAAAAAAACCTCTTGGGTTCTACCACTCGGGTTGGAAAAACCTTCCTTTCCACATGATTTCTCACACTATCTATCTTTTTTGGCGCCGCGTCTTTTTTTCCTTTTCCTATTCAGTAAAATTTCTGTTCGAGCGTTTTTGTACGAAGGGAAATCGCTAAAACTCACGAAAACAAGGTCCTCTAGGCTCTAGTTGTGGGAGGCGGGTCGTCCCGGCTGAAATGCGATATCCTCAAGGCCAGCACTGCCAAAAACGGCTCCAGAGGCTCTCCTCCAGAAGCTCTGGTGGATGAGAATTTGGCACCAGTGCCAATGATGCCCTCCTCCTCTCCCGCCATGCAAATATTTGACAATTCTTCGAGACACACACACGCCTATCAGTTTTTTTTGTTTGCTTTTTCTTAAATTTAGTTTTTGTTTGCACTGTTCCAAATGATGCTTCCTCTCTTCCATAAGTGATAAGAAGGTTACTACTGAATAACTTAGCAAGGTCTCCAGTATGTATTTCATATAAATGAAATCACTAAAAAAAATTAGGAGGGGAAAAGAAGAGGACACTACTGATAAGGAGTGTACCCCTCCCAATGTGTTACGCCTACGCCTTCCTCCAAGCCTCTCTCCTTTTTACGATTATCGATCTGAATGAGTGGGGAAGACAATAAGAGGGAAAAAGTTTCGAAATGAGCAGAGGATGAGTCAGGTGGGGGGTAACAGATGCTCCATTGAAGTTTTTGGTGCGCATAAAACCAGCTGGTAGGGGAAAAAAGATATATGGTTTGAGTATAGCTAGCTGGTGGAGGATCTGTGCTTATAGGGGGTTGATTTGGACGGATTTGAAGCTTGTTTGAAGTTTTGGATAGACGCAGACAGCTAGAGCGTCTTGTCATCTGCGTCTCTAGCCCTCCAAACCGAAATCGTTAGTTTTTGTTGCTCTTTCTTTTGGTTCAGAATTTGTAAGGAATCACATTGGAAACTTTAGAGGATGTAAAACAGATCTAGATTGAAAACTTTGCATTTACAGAATTTTTTGAAAATTTCGTTTTTTGACGATTTCTGAAAGACGCCCCTTTTGAACCCCAATTGCGTACTGAAAAAGGTGTCCTTCAGAAACCGGCAAAAAGCTGAGAAACTAGAAATTTTCAAAAAATTATTTAAATGCAAAGTTTTCAATCTAGACCTGTTTTAGATCCTCCAAAATTTTCAAAGTGATTGGAAACTTGACAGCGGAGCTCCAAACACTTGAAAATGGCTGAAAATCGACTGAAAAACGGGTTTCTATGCATCTAATTGTAAAAGGCTTGGGCAGAAAATGTGCTTAAAGCCCCTTATCCTTAAATCCTAGAAATCTGCCTCTCTGAGAGACTAGAAGCTTTTTCCCGGTACTGTAAGAAGGTCAGGAGCTAGAACCCCAATGAAATCCCATTTTTCGAAAATCCTAGAAAAAGGAAGATTTTCTAATAAAATGCACACACACACATTTTGTTTCAATTTCGATCCCCCATCCATTTCCTGCGTCATTACCCCACTTCTCCGCTTTTGGTCCTCCTCCAATATTAGATCTTTAAGAGATTCTCATCATGCTCTTCCCCCTCCTCCACAAAAATTGCCGCGGGGTCCCCCTCTCATCTCTTTTTCATTCATTTTGGAAATCTTCATTTTTCTCTTCTACCTCTCTTCTCTCTCTCTCTCTCTCTCGCGCTCTCTCGACTCGATTCCTTTTTTGTAATTCAATACTTACACCCTCCCCACCTCCTTCTTTCCAAAAAATTTGGGTCAAGTAGCGAATGAATATTAGGAGAAGAAGTACAAAGGACTAAAAACTAAAAGGTGGTATTCTAGGTTATCAAAGAGGAGCAAGTATCCGAGGACTCGGATTCCGAAGACGGCAACGCCACCACGACTTCAGACTCAGAAGACGTTGAGCAGAACGTAAAGGAGAACAAGAAGAGATCGCCTAAGCAACGTGGCAAGAAGATGCTACCGAATACTACAGTAACTGGAGCAACTGATGGGACTGGAAGCGCCGTGCCCACGTCTTCAGCAGCCAGCACTTTGGATTATACGGTAGGTCAATTGGTTTTTCGGAAACATTCTGCTTAAGTGACGTATTGGTTGAAAACGATGATGCTTATTTTTTCCGTCCTTATCAGTGATAGCTCTAAAAAAGACCATATGCTTTCCTCTCTAACTGTCTGGGCGTATAGTATTGATGAGTGGTTGGGGGGGAGTGTGACTCACTTAAGTTTTATTTTCCTTAATTTTCTTAGGAAATCCATTTTGCTAGCTACTAGGTCCTATTTTTTGGCAATATTGAAAGCTAGAGACTCGTAGAAGCCTGAGCTGCAATTTTGGAATTTTTAAGCTATCTTGATCCATAGATCTCAAGCTTCAGCTTCAATTTTTTGCCGATTTTAAAGCTTGCGGTTCAAGATTGAAGCTATCGAAATCTTGAGATTTATGAATCTAGTTAGGTAAAAAATCTCAAAATCGCAGCTCAGGCTTCTTTTCTAGAGCCATTGTGGCAGATTTCTATAGCTCCGAGAGCCCTAGTTTCTTATCATTACTAAGAACATTCACCAAATTCGGTTTGATGTGTCGCGCGTCTTATCACCCACTCAAAGTTAACCTAATGAGCTGAAATTTGGACAGATGAATCAGAAATGTTTCTAATTAAATGCCCAAATTTTTTTTTTCAAAATTTTGATTTTGAAGTCTTCTGGAGACGTTCCTTGGTTTCGCCACAGTACATCATCTACATCATCTGGGAAAACACACCATGGTCATGTAAGATCATTTCTAGGCCAAAAAAAAACTGGTTGATACAGTAAGACTATTCGGAAGGACTCTCAAGCAGTATGAAACAAAAACTAGTTAAAAATCCAGGAGCACATCATGCACGAGATGTAAAAAAGTGGTGAAAATGGATGGAAAATGTGTGTATGTCCACAAGAAGGGGTCCTGAGTGAGGAGGGCAGGGCGTCCTTGCCCAAGAAGCCAAATATTTATTCAATTTCTATTTATTTATCCGAAACCCTGTCCCCAGACCCTCCTCCCCATTTTTCTCACACTCCATAGGAGGTCATCTGCTGGAACTTGGGCGAAGATCATATCTTTTGGGCATTATCAACTCCAAGGTCATGAACTTCTCATCTTGGCGTTTCTTAGGGTTTCTCAGGTATTCTCACACCGGGGCGTGTCTTGGAGGATTACTGTAGTTGCCCAGGGGGGAGGGATAGGGCGATGCGCAGGGTGGGGGTCGGATGGGAGTGGGGGCGGAGTCCTGACGGAGAGGGAGGCAGAGACTCTAGCCCTTCCTCAGTACCTCTCGATCTATGAGTCTGTGGAACACCTCTATATTTTTTTCGATTCATTAAAAAGGTCCAAACCCTCTATAATGTTTGTCTGTTTGTCCAGACTTGTTGTTTTTTCACGCGCTTCTCTAACTTCTGTTTCCGCGGAGGTCCTTCTCTCTAAATATCTAAATATTTGTTGTATTTAAATATTTACATAATCCTCTTTTTCTCTTTGTCCTTCCTCTATCTATATATAAGCAAACTTTTTTTCCAGGCGATGAACGCTCAGGACTATCTGCCCACCTACTCCAACACAGCGCTCAGCTATCAGCCAGCCTATCAGGTGAGCAGCAAGCCATATCTAGGCCAAACCTTCGCGCTTGGAACCAAAGATGATTCAACGTTGGCTTTCCAGTATTCGAATGCCACCAATGGACTTCTCAACTACAACTATAATCAGTATGCTAATCAATTGGGATCCAACTATATCAACACCACGGCGAACTTCATGCAAGGAGGAGGGATTTCACCATTAGGTAAGTACTATGTTTCATTCTATGACCAGTACTGAGCTAGCCACTTAATTATTCATATCCTATGACTATGTAACCTAACGCCCAACCTTCCTATTTTCCAGGCTTCGCAGCCAATCCCACCACCGGCTCCGCATCCGTCACAACATCATCTGCTTCCGTCGTCAATCGATCGTCTGGACGCAACTCGAGCTCAACCGCTTCAACCATCAATGCCGCTGCTGGCTCCCCAGTTGAAAGCCGATCGTACGCGGGAGGATCCGGAAGTAGCGGACAGGAGCTGACGGTTCAGGAATTCGAGAATGTTCGGGAGAAGATTCGGAGACAAGGAACCTATGGGCAATCGAAACCGCCATACTCCTACATTTCCTTGATCACAATGGCAATTCAAAAATCGGCTACACGACAATTGACCCTCTCGGAAATCTACAACTGGATCATGGAGCTGTTCCCATACTACCAGAATCATCAGCAAAGATGGCAAAACTCGATTCGCCACTCTTTATCCTTCAATGACTGCTTCGTGAAAGTTGCTAGGTTAGTTCTGAACTTCTGGGGCTAAGCTTATTACCAGGAATTCCCATATACCTACTCGGAGGTACCTCGAATCCCCTGCGCCCGACCAAGTAAATGTATTTTACCGGAGCCTTTACCATATACCTATTATTGTATAGTTTTTCTCAAGGACTCCCGCTTTCCCGTCGCTGCGCCACATTTATAATTCAATGCGCTCCTCACCTTCCTTGAGGGCGCCAACGAAGCATGAAGCTGTTTAGATGAGAAGGGCGCCGGAACTCCTCCCCGCCAGAACAATTAGTCAGCGCGCGCTTCTGTGAAAAAGAACAGAAAAAAATGTTTGATTACTTGTTACCTATGGATGTGTTCCGGAAGTTAATAGATTTTCCGACCTAAATCTCTTTTTTCAGATCCCCAGACAAGCCAGGAAAGGGATCCTTCTGGACGCTCCATGAGCATTGCGGTAACATGTTCGAGAATGGATGTTATCTTCGTCGTCAAAAGAGATTCAAGGTCAAGGAGCGTGAGCCATCAAGAAAGAAGAGAAATGCTCATGCTCAGCAACAACAACACGTGCCCAAGATTGAGATCAAGGATGAGGATCAGACGGTTTCAACAACTTCATCACTTGGAGCGTACCCGATGGTCAGTCAACCCACTGCTAAGATTGAGGTGAAAGAGGAGCTGAAATCAGCAGCGTCGGCCGCCACCGCTTCTTCCGCGCTACTTGACCCAATCGCGTCGGCAGTCAATCACAGTCAACCCACTTCAGTCATCTCCAGTGTCGGAAGTCTTGGAGCTACACAGCCACAGGTGAGGGACCTTGTGCAAATACTAGCGGAACCTTGAATGGGCTCTATGCATTCTAAAAAATTCTAATTCCTATAATTTCCAGATGAACCTCAACGGGCAATACTCTTCGCCATACATCTATTCGGGAGACTTCTCGGCGAATCTCCTCCAGGGACAGAACTTCCTGAACAACACCATCTACAATCCAACGAGCCTGTATACCTCCAATGATTATAATGGATATCAGAATACTCTATACAGCTCCACCAACCCGAACTCTGCTGCGAATCTCTAAAAAGATCATAAGGTTTTTTAAATTGCTATTGTAAATATACTTGTTATCCCTACTATCATAGAAGCCCATCTTCCCCCAGCCACTGGTTATGTTCCCGCCCTGAAAGTTTGAAAATCACAGATGTCTTTAAATCAATCAGCCCCCCTTTCCTCTGAAAAAGAATCCACCGAATGTTACCGGTTCAAAAATTCTCTTATTGCAATAAGTTTTCTATTAGCTCCTCCTTTCTCTCATATCGTCAGTATCTACCGTCTCGCTCACATAATATACTTTTTTTTGATGAATGTTATACTTTTCACTGTTTTCAGAAATTTACTATTTTTCATTTCTCTCCAAAAAATCTCAAATTCCTTTCCATTTTGTGTCGCGCAGGGACCATTTTCACACATTTCTTCTTCATCCCAGGATCCTACTTTTTATACCGTCTTTGTCGCATTTTTCTGAAATTCACTGTTTTTCTGGTATTTTTACTTTTTCTAAACTCATAAAAAGTTTTCTTCAATCCTTCTGAAACAATAATACGATAGATATCCGATAAGGACCATTCTTCCATTGTCTTAAAACACAAAGGGGTCCTTATAACAATGAACAGACAACGGGGTAACGTATCCGGATACGGTCGTTCTGAATACACAGGAAGAGGAAAAAGAAGGTGTTGAGGTCAATCACAGGAGAATTGTGCCAAAAGTTTGGGTAAACATTCATTGAAGAGGTAGTGGCTGGGGTTATGCAACATGATGTGGTAATAGGTTCAGGATATTATGGTAAGAAGGTGTGACAGGGAAATGGGGTACGGTAGAAGAATACGGTAGACAGTGGAGCTCAAGAACTCCAATGAAAATGACGAAGAATACCGTAAACACTAATAAAAGAGCTTCTTTTAAAGGGGGACTCCGACCAGAAATTTTTATTGCATGAAAATGTGTTAAAAGTTATCTATTTTCCGAATATTATTGCGAAAAAATTCAAAAAAAATCTGAAATTCCCAAAAAACGCCGTTGAAAAGGAAGAAAATTCAAAAAAAGGTGCCGCCGGGGGAAGAGGATTTTCAGTGAGAAACCTAGGCCACGGCAGCGGGCGCCTTTCCTACGTAGCAAATTTTCCGGATTTTTTTCAATTTCATGTCCGGCAGGTAAAAAACGTAAAAAACCACTGATGGCAACTTGAAAAAAAGGCTGTCAGGTGCCGTGGCCTAGGTTTCTCACTGAAAATCCTCGTCCCCCGGCGGCACCTTTTTTTGAATTTTCTTCCTTTTCAACGCCGTTTTTTGGCAATTTCGGATTTTTTTTGAATTTTTTCGCAATAATATTCGGAAAATAGATAACTTTTAACACATTTTAAGGCAATAAAAATTTTTCGGAGTCCTCCTTTAAAGTTCAGCTACCGTAAACACTCTAATAGAATGCCACCCGAATGGTCAAATTTGAGCTTATCTATCTCGTTTTTTGTAAGAGATATCAGAAAGTGGTAAGCTAATAAAATGTTGCTGATATCATGATGAACATTTTATTAGTTGACAACATTTTGATATCTCTCACAGAAAATGAGATACATGGGCTCAAATTTGACGCTTCGGGTGGCGTTTTATTAGGGGGTTTGGAAGAAGCTCCGCCCACTTTCCCACGGTCTCTCGTCAGATTCCCACGATCCTGGTCAAATTTGTTCTAAACTTATGCTTCTCCTGCTCCCAATGTTTTCCCTTCACACACAAAATATACAAATATACAAACCGAAGAATCAAACAAAAAAGTGTCTATATTTGTTGACAAATAGGAAAACCCCTTCCTGGAAAAAAATGTGTGGGTCAGTTTAATCAGAACAGAAGTTCCCTAGCGCCGCGAGCTCTGGTGGTCCATAGCAGCCCGCCCTATACGTTTAATTTCAGCTCAATTATCTCGGTTCCTGTAAGACATATCAAAATTTTGTCGGCTGATCAAATATTGCTGATCTTATGATAAGCAATCTATTAGTTGACCACTTTTTGATATCTCTTACAGGAACAGAGATAATTGAGTTCAAAATGAACGTAAAGGGTGTGGGTCTGCTTTTCTGATTAACGAGTACACACATTTTTGGAAAACAAGTTATTCCAATATTTTTTTTTCTGATAAGAACTCACAAAATGCGATTCATCGATTCCAGGTTTTATATTACTAGCTTCAATACTTTGAAGCCTATTTGTATGCGTCATGAACTCTAGAATCTGTAAAGAAACTTTAAAACTATATGATTACTGTAACTTCTACTTTTGAGCTCAATTATCTCAGTTCCTGTTAAAAGCATCAAAATTTTGTCAACTAATAAAATGTTTATCATAATATCAGCAATTTTTTATCAGTTGAGCACTTTTTGATATCTTTTACCAAAAACGAGATAAACGGTTTCAAAGTTTACGATTACAAATTTTTGATATCTTTTATTGCAACCGAGATATTGAAGCGAATCGAATGCCCTTTTATTGAAGGTAACACTACATCAAGAAATATGTTTTGGATTTCTGAACTCTATAGGATTACTGTACTTTTTATTATGTTCTGTTGCTCTAGACCCTCTCTTGCTCCACTATCCCCCACCTCCACGGACTGTACAAACAATAAAAGGCACATTTCAGAAAATGGAGAGACGGAGACTGGATTACGGGATCCCAGTCACTCCCGGAAAGTAAATATCTCAAACATCTAGAGACTGTGTAGATCAGAGAGAAGGATGAGAGAAAGTTCTAGAAATAGCGTGGGAATGGGAAGAGGGTTTCGAGAGAAAAATTGAGCTGCGTGCGCGAAGGGAATAGGGTGGGGAGCGATAGAGGGGGGACTGTCTCTCTATGATGTGATGTGTGGAAAATTTAGAAAATGAAATTTCAAAGGAGAAGACGAAAATAGAAAAATGAGGGGTTAATGGCGAACTGAAATTGATTTTTGCAGGGGACTGGATTTTTTGTAATATCAGAAAAAAAATTTTTGAGGCATTTTTGTCTGGAACTGTAATACCGTTCGTTGAGCTTAATTATCTCGGTTCCCATAAGAGGTATCAACTAGTTGTTAACTGATAAAATATAGCTGATATTATGAAAAATAATTTATCAGTGAACAGGTTTTTGATATCTCTCATGAGAACCGAGATAATTGATCTCGAAGTGGAAGTAGTAGTATTACGGTAAATGGTTTAACAGAAGCCCGCCCTAACTTTACTTTGAGGCGATTTATCTAGGTTCCTGTAATATGTATCAAAAAGTGGTTAACCAATAAAATATAGCCGATATCATGAAAAATATTTTATCAGTTTGCAGAGTTTTGATATCTCTTATAGGAGCCGCGATAGTTGAACTCAAAGTGGAAATATCATTATTACCGTAAAAGCTCTTTTAAAACCTATTTCAACTGTGAGCTGATTTATCTCAGTTACTGTAAAAAATATCAAAAAGTGGTCAACAAATAAAATGTTTATCAAAAAATAACCAATATTTTATCAGTTGACACAACTTTGATATCTCTTATCAAAGGCGAGATAATTGAACTCAAAGTGCAATTAACGGGTGGCGTTTTTGTTGAGGTTTGAAGTCTGAAGGATCCTCCAACTTTGAGGCAGTTTACCTCGGTTCCTATGAGAGATTTCAAAAATTTGTCAACTGATAAAACAATTTTCATGATAACAGCTATATTTTATTAGTTGACAACTAGTTGATATCTTTTATAGGAAGCGAGATAATTAAGCTCAAAGCGACTTGAACTGTATAGCCGTATTCGCTGCTCCAATCCTCCCTATACGGCCACTTTGAGCTCAATTATTTCGGTTTCTGTATGGCATATCAGAAAAAGGTCAATCACTAAGTTCTTTATCATAATATCACCTATAATTTATCAGTCAACCGGTTATCAACGTCTCTTATAGGAACCAAGATAATTGAGCTCAAAGTTCACTTCTGTTCATTGCGCTTCAATACAGTACCCCAAACATGCCACGTCATGGTTTGTGTATCATAACAACCCAAATTTTTCGTGGTTTTTAACCACATCACTTCTCACATGACTCCGTTTTCCGCTGAGATAAGTTTTGCCAAACACAACCTTCCTCGCTCCTTCCCTCCGAATGAAAAACCAGTCAAAGTTCACAACCTCTGCAGCTCTCTCTCCTGTCAATTGTTCTCATTGTGGTGGTGCTCCGCCAAGAGAATGAGAAAGAAGAAAAAAGTTACCCGATAGGCTCTAAAGAAAACGGTACAAAAGTCAATAGAGGCGGTTGGATGATGGAGGTGCGGAACTCTATCCCTTGACGTGACCCTCAAGCAGCTTTTTGGCAGGAAAGAGAGATTCCAATAGGGGGGGGGGGGGGGGGGGGGGTGGCTGTATTAGGTTACTGTTAAGCTTGTTTGATTTAGAGAAGTCCCCTTTTTTTGGTGGCGGCACAGGTAAGGAGTCGGGCGGCAAAAGTCAAGGGAGCAACTGGATAAGAGGTGGAGGACTACTAATCTGTCATGCAACCTGAGCAAATAGGCCGAGTGGTTAAGGTCCCAACTATGCCATGATCGTTTAGAGGATTCTTTGAATTTCATAAGCTATCAGGAAATAGGGGATCAACGACATTCTGGACAAGTTTCAAAACAGGAACTCATTAATTTTCCCACGCTTTTTTAGGGTGACACCCCGAGGATCGATGGCTTAGGGGCACCCTGGTGTGAATGGATTGACGGAAATGGTGTTGCAGTTTTTAGGTATGATGGTGACAAAAGATTCATGGGAAGGAAGAGAAGAGAGGAAGGTGTGAAGGAAGAGATGAGACAAAAGAAGAAGAATTGAAGTATGACATAAGAGGGTTCAGGACGTCTCTTTGAATTGAGCCGAAATGGCCGAAATTGAGAGTAGAGAAGGTTGAATTGATTTTAAAAAGAGGAGATTTTGAACTTAAAGCACAATACTAGAGTTTTTAGTTGAAAATTGCCTAATTAACAGAATACAGAGGATTCTATTGTTCAGGAAGCTAGTCCATAGGAAGAACGCTATTGTCTACTTGTAGCTAATATATCTCGGTTCCTATTAGAGATATCAAAAACTAGTGAACTAAAGAAATATTGGTAATTTTATGACAAACATTTTATCAGTTGACGAATTTCTCATTTATCTTATAGGGATGAAGATAATTGAACTTCAATTTAAACTACCCTAAAATTCATAGTAAAAGGGCTCTCTAGCTGTCAGTTTTCAGCTCAATTATCTCGGTTCTTTCAAAAGATATCAAAAAAAGGGTGTACTTTCAAAATACTTCTGAACTTATGATAAGCAATTTATCAGTTGACAATGTTTGATATCTCCTACAGTAACCGAGATAAAGTAGACCAAAATTGACGATTGGGGAAAATTGACGAAACTTTTATTCAAGGTTTTACGGTATTTCCCCTTCTTCAGTTTTGATGCTTTAAAGGTGGGGAGACATGAAAAAAAAATAATATTCTCGATATTCCGTCTTAATATGCCCCTCGAGGAGTTGAACTTGTGGGGCGAGGATTGAGGGTGCGGCGCCGCTACCGACTGAGCCACGCGGGCAAAGAGAAAATGGCCGCCCGATTGCATACACAAAGGACGACAGCTGTACGCGGAGTGACATTAAGCGTTGTAGCTACAAAAATCCTTCATGCCCAACTACAGTAGCCAGATATAAACTTCCCCTTAATCACAAATTATGTCTGAATCTCAACTTGATTTTTTTGTTAACCTCTTTCTCATTTCAGATCACGAATTACCTTGAAACTTGTGGTAGAAAGGCCCCGACCTTATTGTCTCTATTAGAAGTCTACCCTACATGTGCACGTTGAGCTCAATTATCTAACTTCCTGGGAGAGATATCGAAAAGTGGTTAACTGACAAAATCTTTATCATAATATCTCCAATAAAGTTAGCGATCAGGAGTTCCTTCTTCCGAAGTTTCAAGTCATGTTTCCAGTTGATAAGCTGTTTGTTTACTTTGCGCCAATTTTTCTCGTTCCCTATAGGAGCTATGAAAAAGTGGTTAACTAATAAAATATTACTGAAATTATGATAAACATTTTATCAGTTTACGACTTTTTGATACCTCTTACAGTAACCGAGATAATTGAGCTCAAAGTTGTCAGCTTGTTGGCGCTTCTATGGCGGTTGCTACGGCAACATGGTTGTACCTTGATATGAGTAACAACATTTAATTATTATACTAACATAAACAAGTGTTTACAAAACAGCTTTATTTTAATTTTATTTATTCTAGTTCAAGAAGAAAATAATACATGATAAACAGATTCCAGATGGTAAAATAAATCAGATGAATGCCTGAAAAACCAGAGTCGTGCCAAGATTTTTGAAATTAAAATCTTCAAAAGTTCCTTTTAAAAATTTCGGTTCTGTGAAGTTCTTATTACCAGGTTCCGGTAAAAGTTGCCAACTGTCAACTTCCAGCTCCTATATCTCGATTCCTTTAAAAGATATCAAAAAGTGGTCAACTGAAAAAAAATATTGCTGCTATTATGATAAATATTTTATCAGTTGACCACTTTTTGATATCTATTAAAAGAACCGAGATAATTGAGCTCAAAGTTAGAGGGCCGTTCTGTTACAGGTTTTACGGCATCTTGCATTTAAACTGTTTCATACTTCCAAATGTAACTCAATCTACATGTTGAGTAATAAATACATGCAACACAAACAAATCTTTCTAATCAGTGTAACTCCAAAATCCATCATTGGTCTTATTCCCAAAGTTTCCCATTTGTGTGTACTTAACTAATCCAGCTACGTAATACAGTATTGTTGGTGTAAGAGTGATTAACCTCTTTGTGCCCTCTAAATATCCCCCGATCATCTCAATGTGTTGTGTAATCAACACTTTTAATATCAGATTTAAGTGTTGGGGACCAAATTAGGTCTGAGAATCGCAGAAAACAAAGAAATAGAACATCTTTCTTCAATTTCTAGATCTATTCCTATATTGTTACAAAATGTTACAAAGTTCATCTAAACCATCACTTTCACCTCTAATTCTCCCTTTTTTTCGCGAAAAGTGTCTCCCTCTTTCCTTTTAAAATCCCATACAAAACCGGTTTTTTTTCACTATGACATAACTTTATCTGCATTTTTATCTGCTTTTTCTTATCGTTTTTCTTGTGGTCTTTTTTGTGGTATTTTCTAATAGAAAAAAGGTTTTACTGGAGCTGAAAATCGATTAGGAAATTCTGAAAATAAGGATTTCTCTGCGCCCTCTCGCTCTCTCGCGCGTAGCCATAGAGCGCGCTTGCATTTCTCTAGCAGCCAACGCGTGCAGATTTTTCAGCGAATTTCAGACTTTTTTCCTCTATTTTACTAGGTTTTTGAGCTATTTTTTTCTCAATTTTTTGTATTTTTCAGCTCTTCCAAATGGTTTTCGACGAAGAGCCACCAAACAGTCAGAAGAAATGGACGCAGGTTGCGAAACGAAAATTTTCAGAAATTAATCAGTTTTTTGAAATTTTCAGCAAGCCACCACATCAGCGTTCGGTTTGATGGAGTCGTTGCGCGGACAGGGGTCGAGTCTGGCGAAAAATATCAAGAATTTCGGAAAATCGCTAGTTAAAGAGCACCAGAAGTCGCAAGGAGGCGCGACGACGCCGGTTAGATTTTTCTGAAAATTAAAACACTTTAATTTGAATTTTTAAATTTAAAAAAAAAGCTTTTTAGCTATTTAAAAATGCTCAAGATTTAAAAAAAAATTTCCCAATGCTAAAAAAATCCGGAAATCCCCATTTTTCGGTCAATTTCCGTAGCTTCACCAGCAATTTTTCAAATTTACTGCGAAAAAAATTTTTCTCAACAATTCAAATTTCCAGCCCGAGCACCGCGACGATGATATCCGTCTGACATGGCTCACAAATCGTTTGGTGCTCGCCGACACGTTGCACACCTCCAAAGAAGGGCTTCTGAAAGCTGAGCACGCCGTCGTTCGAGAGATGATCGATTGTCAGCCATATGTAGTGGTTAATGTGCATGCTGAGTGAGTTTTTAGCGTTTTCAAGGCAAAAATTATGCTAAAATCGATAAAATTGGCCTAGAAAACCATCATTTTCAGTGGATGTTTGGTCATTTTGACCATTCAGACTATTTTTAAGCTATTCAGACCATTTTCAGACCCTTTTAGGAACATTTTCAAGCCATTTAGACTATTTTTGGACTATTTAGGTCATTCTTAGACTATTTAGACTATTTAGACCATTTTCAAGTTATTTATACCATTTTGGATTCTTTTCAAACCACTTAGACCAATTTTAGGCTATTCAGACCATTTTTAGAGCATTTTTGACTATTTTTAGAGCGGTTTGGACCATTTTTAGAGCATTTTAGACCATATTAGACTACTTCAGACTATTTTTGACCAGTTTTAAACCATTTTTAAGCTAGCTAGACTATTATTAGGCCATTTTTTTACTTTTAAGACTATTTTTCAGGCTTTAGAAACCATTTTAGACCATAAATCGACGAATTTTCAACTTTCCAGACCCCTAAAACTCGATGGATATGCAAAATCGGTGCACGTTCCATTGGGCACTGCTGCGAAAGGAGGTCTTCCCAAGTATCCAACGATTCAGGCGTTGATTCCTGTAAGGTTGTTCAAAAAACTAGCTGAAAATTGCCTTCTAGAACATTTAAAAAGCTGTGTTTTGCTCTGAAAATTCGGTGAAAATTCCAGATCCTCAATGAGTACTGTCTTCTGACCAACGACGCGGCAATCGTAATTTTTGGAAGTGATGGTGAGAGTTTTATGCATTAAAATGTGTGGAAAAACATGAAGATTCATATAGAAACGGAGAAAAAGTTTGAGAAAACCCGCAAAACCTCTGAAAATTGCATTTTTCATGGTTTTTAAATTATTTTTCATGATTTTTGGAACATTTTTCATGGTTTTTGGACCATTTTCCTGATTTTTGAACCATTTTTCATGATTTTTGGACCATTTTTCATAATTTCCGGATCGTTTTTCATGATTTTTGGATCATTTTTCATGATTTTTGGATCATTTTTCATGATTTTTGGACCATTTTTCATAATTTCCGGATCGTTTTTCGGATCATTTTTCATGATTTTTGGACCATTTTTCATAATTTCCGGATCGTTTTTCATGATTTTTGGACCATTTTTCATGATTTTTGAACCATTTTTCATAATTTTCGGATCGTTTTTCATGATTTTTGGACCATTTTTCTAGCCATTTTCAGCAAAAAAAAACATAAAATTGCTAGAAAAAAACCAAACAGGTTTTTCAGCTAATTTTGAAGATTTTTTTATCGATTTTCCGAATTTTTCGTCTGAAATTTGGTGTTCTTGACGGAAGATTACTGTAGACTACTGTAGGAAATCTTGTAGTTTGTAGTTTTGGTTTTTGCAAACACAACCACGTCAAAATGCAGATAAAAACAAACTACAAACTACAAGGTTCTGTACAGTAATCTACAGTAATCCTCCGTCAAGAACACTAAATTTCAGACAAAAAAAACCGGAAAAATCGAAAAAGAATCTTCAAAAAGGGCTGAAAAATCTAGAAAGGTCTAAAAATTTTGCGAAAAATCGGAGAAGAAATCAATTTTTTATTTAAAAATTTCCAAAATTTCTGGTTGTCTTCTTGCAATTTTAGGGCGAAATTTGATGAAATTCTTGCTGAAAATAGTTAAAAATGATTGAAAATGACCCAAAATAGACTGAAATCAGTCTAAAAACCACCACCTTTTTAAGAGTTTAAACAATGATTTTAGACCTATTTTAGCCTATTTTAGGCAATTACCCGGCCATTTTCAGCTATTTTCAGCAAACATTCAATCAGATTTTCGCGAAAAATTGCTAGAAAAAAGCATAGTTGCTATTTTTCAAATTTTTTCCATTTTCAGCCAATTTTGGAACATTTAGATTGTTTTCAGACCATTTAGACCCTTTGAAAACAATTTTCGGTCGTTTTCTGCACATTTTCGACTATCTTTAATCGTTTTTGATTGATTTTGGACTATTTTCGGTCGTTTTTAGATCATTCTGATCATTTTTAAGCTATTTGCAGGCAATTTCATACCTATTTTAAAACTTTTTAGATCATTTTAGGACAGTTTTTCACTATTTTAGTCAGTTTTATACCATTTTTAGAACATTTCAGACTACTTTAGACACTTTTAGACCCATTTTTAGACGATTTTGAATTACAGAAAATGTCCAAATCACTGCGGCCTTCTGTCTCGTCGCGTCTCGTACCATCTCCCGGGTCTCTGACTTCCTTCGCGACTCCCTTCCAAACCGTTTCGATCGTCTCCCCAACACATATCACCTGTTTCTGGAGCAAACGAAGCACATCTGCAAACTGCACACCCGTCGTCGACAACCCCTTCAAACGGGCGCCCTCATCTCCCAAATCGTTCTGGAGCCGGGCACGTTGCTCATCGACGGCGAGCTCTACGCGGCGATTCAGCAGGGTGTGGGTCAGTTGAAAGTGATCGAGTTCTCGGCGCAATCGTGTCGGAATCGACAGGGACAGCTGGTTTTTGGAATGGAAAATGTTGAGACGGTGGATGATGTCGTCGTTTTTGTGGGGAAAAAGTCGGATGTGGTGAGTTTTAGACCAATTTTAGACCATTTTTGGACATTTGGACTATTTTAGACACGTTTATACCTTTATTAGACCATTTTAGACAGTTTTAGACCTAATATTAAAGCATTTTAGACTGTTTTAGACCCATTTTTAGAACATTTTACACCATTTGAGACCATTTTATACCATTTATAGATCATTTTTGACTATTTTAGCCGCATTTTTAGAGCATTTTACGCCATTTAAGACCATTTTAGACCCATTTTTCGAACATTTTGGACTATTTTAGACCCATTTGTAGAGCGTTTAAAACTATTTTTTAAGAATTTAAACCAATTAGACTCGATTGCCAGATGTGGTGAATGATTGATTTGAAGTGAGAGACGCAGAGAAAAAGAACACTTCTTGGAGGTCCCATTAATCGCCCCAAAAACGTCGATTGCTCATTTTAGTGTTCTAGCAACAGTAATCGTAGAGGTTAGGCTGAAATTGAGCTTGAACAGGGGCTGCTTTTCTGGTTTGTTTTTGAAGGGAACGGAAGTCGCCCTAGGAGCAAAAAACAAGCTAAAAGTGCGTCCGGAAAGGAGGATGTGACATTTTTCTCCATTTTTTTCGAGTAATGGAATCCCGTGGGACCTCCAAGAAGTGTTCTTTTTCTCTGCGTCTCTCACTTCAAATCAATCATTCACACATCTGACCGTGCATATCGACTATTTCGACCATTTTGAGAGCATTTTTAAGCATACCTTGACCGATTTTGAGCACTTTTAGACCGTTCAAACTACTTTTGACAATTTTTAGTTCATTTTTAGATCATTTTCAGGCCGTTCAAGTCATTTCAGACCGCTTTTAGACCGTTGAGCCCGATTTTAGATTCTTTTTACACCATTTTTAGAACAGTTCAGACAAATTTGACCATTTTTTTAGATGATATAGGCCATTTAGAATATTAACACCATTTTTAGACCGTTTTTGACCATTTTCAGATTATTTTTAGACTATTTCGACCACTTTTAGACCATTGTTCCCCCACCAATTAGACTGATTTAGACAATTTCTAGGCCATTTTCAGGCCATTTCAACCGTTTTTTGGTTAATTTTCAGACCATTTTTACATTGAAAAACGCTCCAGAATCATCGTTCTGCTCTCATTTCGACCCTCACCTTCTCTATTATAATCCATATAAGCCTCCCTCCATCCCCACAACAACCGGTCAGAGACAGAGGAAGCAGATGTTGTGGGGCGTAGTAACGGGAAACCCGTCGCTGACCTACTACTCCTATTTACCTATTTGGAAAATGAAAAGGAAGGAGAATGTGCTACTGCTGCTTCCTCTCTCTCTCCCGTTTTACCGCCTCATTGGGAATCCAAATTAGACGAAAAGTCTGTTTTGGAGGAGAGAGAGCGCCTTATATGGCATCCTTTTGGATTCAATTTTCGACCGCTTTTCAAGGGTTTTTGGTCTATTTTTTTCTTTATTTTCCGGAATTTTCAGTTAAAAATACACATTTTAATAGCAAAATCATAAAAATCGGTTGGAAAACGAAAAAGTTGTGATGATTTGAAATTTTTGGATCAAAAATTGTAATTTTGAAAATTTCTAAAATTTTTTGATTTTATTCAATTTTTGACCGATTTTCAAGGTTTTAGGCTTAAAATGCAGCAGATCCGCTTAAATTTCAGTTCAAAATACACATTTTGATAGCAGAACCATCGAAATCGGTTGAAAAATAAAAAACTTGTGATGGTTTGAAAGTTTTGGGGATCAAAAAATTAAATTTGAAAAATTCTAAAATTTGAGTTTCAAGGTTTCAGGCTCAAAATGTGTCTCTCTTAAGCCATTTTTCATCTGTCTACATCTCCAAAAATTGCCCCATTTGACATGAATAACCTGCTCATTTTTCCCCCTTTCCTCTCTGCCCTCATTTTGCTGTGTTACCTAGAATAAGGGGTCCCAGAAAGATGTGCCCCACGGAGTCACCGTCACAAAATATTCCCCTCAAAAATATCAAATTTCCAGAAGCACCCGATTCTCGCCGTCAAATTCAACACACAACTCCTGGAGCCCGAGGACGCGTCGATCGTGTTCACGCCTTCTGAAATGGACGTCTCCAAGATGGTCGCGTCGGCGATGCCCATTCAGGATTTGAGGTTTGTGAGACAAAAATAGAAAAAAAAAGAAAAAAATAGAGGAAATGGGTTGGTCCCTCCAACCCACAAGGCGGTATCGAGTTTCCTTTTTCTTGGAGCTAGAACCACAAAAAAGAAGAAAAAGGAAAATTGGAACTTTTGGGTCCCTTCCCAGCTAACTCAACTCATTTTCAAGTTCAAGTTCCATTCCACAACTTTCTCTTTTTTGAAAAAAAAATAAACTGATTGGTCCATGACACCTCCTCATGGGGCTCCTGCACGTTTCAGAACCCGACGTTTCGGAACCACGATGTTTCAGAACCCGACACTTCAGAACCCGACATTTCAGAACCTGAAGTTTCAAAACTCGACGTTTCAGAACGCGACACTTCAGAACTTTTCTGCATTTTTACATAGTGATTTTTGTACTCCTTTGATGTGCAAAAATGCAGAAAAGTTCTGAAACGTCGAAAATGTCGTGGTTCTGAAACGTCGGGTTCTGGAACGTCGTGGTTCCGAAACGTCAGGTTCTGAAACGTCGGGTTCCGAAACGTCGTGGTTCGGAAACGTCGTGGTTCCGAAACTTCGGGTTCTGAAACGTCGGGTTCCGAAACGTCGTGGTTCGGAAACGTCGTGGTTCCGAAACTTCGGGTTCGGAAATGTCGGGTTCTGAAACGTTGTGGTTCCGAAACGTCGTGGTTCTGAAATGCCGTGGTTCCGAAACGTCGTGGTTTCGAAACATCGGGTTCAAAAACATCTGGTTCTGAAACTTCGGGTTCTGACACGTCCAAGAGCCCTTACTCCTTTCTCCCGACTGATTGGTCCACGGCAACCTATCCATGGCCGACCGCAGCCTTGGCTCCTGGACATTTCAGAACCCGGCGTTTCGGAACCACGACATTTTCGAACCACGACGTTTCAGAACTCGACACTTTAGAACCCGACGTTTCAGAAACACTATGCAGAAATTCAAAAAAGTTCTGGAACGTCGGGTTCTGAAACGTCCAGGACCCTACCATTTTCTCCCTAACCCTCGAATCTTCCAGAATGATCGTCAACTTCGCCACTCGCCGTATGCCAACCCTCAACTCCCTTCAATTCGATCGCTATAAGCTTCTATGTGTCCGAAACGAGCGAGAGCTGGAGGGCTATCAACGATCGTATGGTGACGTGGATTCTGAAGACGAGTCGCCAATTCTGAGAAGCGCACGGTCGAAAAGTGGTACTAAACAAGCGACGGAGACCGCTTCCTCGTCGTCTGGAAACTTCTTCGATTCACTTCAATTCGCGGATAGCAACGAGCCAGCACACTATCGAGAGCAGCGAGAATCGACGCTTTTGGTAAGAGCTAGCTTTAAAAAATTGGCTGAAAATAACCCCTAAAATGATCAGGTATCAATTGAAAAAGCCTGGAAAACCGTGTCGAATAGTCTAATTTGTCTGAAAATTGCTGAATTTGACCCCAAAAATTGTCTGAAATGGTTAAAATTGATCCGAAATTGAACCTAATTAATCGAGAAATCCGTCTTAAATTAGTCTAGTTTTGCCTGAAAATGATGAAAAATGACTGAAAAATGACCCCAAATATCGTCTGGAATTGCTGAAATTACTCCTAAATTGATACTGCTAATACTCCTAATTTTCAATTTCTGATTCTATGGCTAAAAGTATAGGGGCCCTTCTATTACAGGTTACATAGAAAAATAGAAAAATCATATTTCCAGGACGCCCACGACGAGCAACAACACACCGCCGACCTCCTCGATGGATTCCATTTGGGTGGTGAAGAAATGTCGTCGCCAGCTGGCGAAACCCCCATTCTCTCAGCTCCAACACCTGCGAGTTCCGATTACGACTCGATGTCGAGCTCACAGAACCGGAAGAACCCGTCACCGGCGCCAGCCATCGACGATTTGTTGGGGTTGGGCTCTCAGACAGCCACCACGGCTCCTCCGGCACCCACTCAAAGCTCCAGTAACCTCGTGGATTTCGATTTTGGCGCGCCAATCAAGCCGACGAATTCGGGAAGCAGCTTGAATTCTGGAAGCAACAACGCCACGATGTCATCATTCTCGAATTCGGATCTGTTGGGAGGATTCTCACCGTTGAAACCGCAATCGACAGCGACGCCACCGAATACGAGGAACCCGTCGGCTGCTAGTGAGTATTTTTGATTTCTGACATGATGGCCTAACTTTTGCAAGCCGAGGTTTCTAGGCCACCACGATGAATAGACTAGAAACGGCCTGATATTCGCCTAGTGTGTTTCCTAGGCCATTTTAACTTGGTGGCCTAACTTTTGCAAGTTGAGTTTTCTAGGCCACCATGACCATGAAAAAATGTCCCAATTTTTCATTGGAAATTTTTTTTACTGAGAAAATGCGGGCCGGGCCGGGAAAATTGTCGTTTCGGCCCGGCCCGGCCCGGCCCGTTGCTAATATTCATCTGCTGTGTTTCCTAGGCCATTTTAACTTGGTGGCCTAACTTTTGCAGGTTGATTTTTCTAGGCCACCATGACCCATAAGATTTTCCAGACTCCAAACCAGTGTCCCAAGTGAACTCTCAAGCCGACTTCGAGGCCTTCCTCTCGAACTACCCTGAAAAACAGCAGGCTCCGCCCACCAGCCAACCTCCACCGTACTCGTCGCAGAAGCCTCAACCAACGAAGCGTAAGAATCTTATTGAAAGACGTCAGACCCATTTATTGATTAATTTTCAGCACAAAACTCATACAAACCAGCGTTCGGTGAGACTCCTGGGACCGCCAAGGTTTCAATGGACGCCTTTGGGGATTTGTTGAGCCAAGGGGTAAGTAGAAGGATTTATATAAGAGCCAGAAGCGCGCCAGCTAGAATACAGAAAAACATAAGAAAAGAAAATTAAATCCTCATTGAAATTGTCGAGACCTTTGGGGCCACTACAGAATTCTGATGATGGTTCTCTAGGCTTCCAGTGTGTCCAGTGGGTTTAGGCTTCCCTGGACATCCTATCGCTGCTAGAATCAACTTTCTGATTGTCCGATTCTCCACAAAATACACAAAAAAGTTCATAGCACAGATGCTCTCCAATCGGAAATAGAAATAACCGTCTTGAACGGATTGCGGAAGGGATGAATAGGTTGTCTGGAATATAGGACCATATATAAAGGCCATGGTACCAAGTGGCCATATGTAGTACCAAGTTGGTACCATATATGGCCATAGTACTATCAACTCACCGGAAAAGTCCTCATTAGAAAAGAGCCGACCTCATAGAACGATAGATAGATTGAGAGCGCCAACGCTTGCCTCATCAAAATCTGCTCTCGCTTCTTCTGACTCTGAATCAACTGCGCTGAAGGCGTCGACGTTGTCGACATCTTCTGGAAGACCTTGGAATACACATGGTGTCGCGCAGCCTTCAAGTGTAGAATAAGCGCTACATTGATAATAAGCAGAGTGGTTGGGATCCATATAAGGTGGGTGTTGGTGAATCGGGTGACAGGGTGGCGTTCTGGCCAGCAGACAGTTTGAAAGATGAGCTCACTGGCTAGATAGTTCACGGAGCATGTGGAGAAATAGGGAATGAGGAGGAGTATAAGGCAAAGGATCTGTAAATGTGTCCTTAGTTCATACCGTATTTGGAAATAGGGCCAAAACAGGTGCAGGCGGGCCCTGGCATATTTTCTCTTAGAATCGATATTTCTGGACCAACTAGACTGGATATGATAGGAGAACTCAAGAACTACAAAATGACACTACTTGGGATACTGTATATTGTCTATGAGCAAAGTAACAAGGCTTCATAGCTGTGACCGCGTAGCTCTGGCGATTTTTGTGTTATAAGCCAAAAATCGTCGGAGCTACGCGGTCACAGCTTTAAAGCCTTGCAACTTTGCTCATAGACAAGCTACAGTTTTCCAAATAGTATCAATTCGTAGATCTTGAGTTCTTCTATCATATTTAACTTAATTGGTCAAGAAATATGGATTCTAAATGAAGCTATGGCCGGGACCGTATTGGGCTCTTCTTGGGCACATTTCAAAGTACGATTCAGACTAGACGTACCAGAATCAAACCCGAGTAGCAAAATATTCGCCGCTGACTGAAAACCGCTTGATCTGTGGGTCTCAACACGATCCAGATACGATTCATAGTCATCACAACGCTAATACACAGTGGGATGAAATAGTTCAAGGTTCCGAGTAGGGTTATCTCCTTGCCCATGAATTGGCGGTATTCTGAAATTAGCTTATTTCCTCTAATAGAGTTTTGGTTTCAAAACTCCGAAAGTTTGGGTTCCAAACCATCAAATTCGAGCACAATTGTCTCGGCTCCTTTAAAAGATATCAAAGTTCTGTCAACTGATAAAATGTTCTCCATATCATGCCGACCGTTTTATCAGTTGACGGATTTTCGATATCTTTTGAAGGAGCCGAGATAATTGAGCTCAAAGTTGAGTGGCCTTCAATTAGAGGAAATACGGTATCAGCAGGATCTCTGAAGGCTTCAGACCGGAGCTCATGACTGAAGCTTCTGTCTGAAGCTTCTGGAATCCACACTCACCCAGATAATCAATCTTGGAAAGCAAGAGATAAGTGCCACAATTGATAGTAAACGCAGCTTTACAAATGACTCCACATGCACTCATAACAGTGAGATAAGCAAATGGGAAGTGCGGATCCTTCCGATGCTTGATAGCCATCACAAATAGGCAAACATCAAAGATCGTAAGGAGTACAGCCAAAATGGAGAATACGGTAAGGGCGATGCCATGAAAAAGGGACATTTCGGAGAGCATTTCTGATGTTTGGGACAATCGACTCCTGAATCGGGAAACAGAAAAAGCAAGCGAAAAAAAGAAGAAGGCGAAAACACATTAAGGGGGGGGGGGGTAATAGCAATCAAAAATCCACACACCACCACAACACCTTTTTGCACACAGCTGAATTGAAAAGTAATCAGAGCCAGGGGAGATTTTTTATGTGATTCATGGAATCTGGAACAGGTTGATTGGTTTTCTGGCTTATGGGTTACGGTAACCAAACTACAGTACCTCAATTTCCCTCGAAAGTCGGGTCTTTGGAACTTTGAAACAAGTACCGTATTTTTGAGCTCAGAAACAGGTACCATACTACTTTTGAGCTCTGAAGCAAGTACCGTACTGTGAAACAAGTACCGTACTTTTGATCTCTGAAACAAGTACCGTACTTTTTGAGCTCTGAAACAGTACCGTACTTTTGAGCTCTCAAACAAGTACCGTAATTTTGAGCTCTGAAACAAGTTCCGTACTTTTGAGCTCTCAAACAAGTACCGTACTTTCGAACTTTGAAACAAATACCGTACTTTCGAACTTTGAAACAAGTACCGTACTTTTGAGCTCTGAAACAAGTACCGTACTTTTGATCTCTGAAACAAGTACCGTACTTTTTGAGCTCTGAAACAGGTACCGTACTTTTGAGCTCTCAAACAAGTACCGTACTTTCGAACTTTGAAACCAGTACCGTACTTTTGAGCTCTGAAACAAGAGCCGTACTTTTGAGCTCTGAAACAAGTACCGTAGTTTTAAGCTCTGAAACAAGTACCGTAATTTTGAGCTCTGAAACAGTTACCGTACTGTTGAGCTCTGAATCAAGTATCGTACTTTGAGCTCAATTATCTCGGTTCCTTTAAGAGATATCAAGAGTCCTTCAACTGATAAATTGTTCCCCATTTCATGGCGACATTTTATCCGTTGATAGCTCCTTGATATCTCTAATAGGATCTCTAAAAATTGAGTTCAAACTATGGTATCCAAATTAATTGAAAAATCAGCAAAAAAATGATTTATTGCATAGTCACAGTGACAACGTTCATCTGCTTCTTCTTGAAAAACCCATAAAAATCTAGAAACGCTTGTCTACTAGCCTTGCTAATCACAAAGTAGACAAAAAAGTTCAACGAACAAATTGTGAGAATTCGAACGAAATAAAAGTCATCCTTAAAATCCGAAGACTGGGCGTCGAAGGATCCGGGAAGCAGACGGATGTACAAACTGCCGATCTCATAGATAGAGAGGTAGACAGCAGTGACAGTAACCGTCCGGATCAGCGAGTTGCTGGTAGTTGTCATTTTCAGTTTCATATAGAAGATGAGTAGGAAGTTGACGATCATAGCGGAGACAGGGAAGTAGATGGTGTACTTGTTTTGAAACCAGGTTAGCTGAAATACCGTATCATTAACTTTGATCCTAATTATCTCGGTTTCTATGAGAGATATCAATAATTGTTTAACTGATAAAATATTAGTGATATTATGATAAGCAATTTATCAGTTGACAAATTTGATATCTTTTAAGGGAACGGAGATAAAGGGCAACTACCATATGCCTATCCGGAACACATGCGGAAATCCACGTGGCAGGATGAGCATGAAAATTGATAGAGCAAGTGGAGTAGTAGGGAATGAGAAGATCGATGAAGGAAAGGAGCTGAAACATCTGGCGTAAGCGACTTAGCTACAGTAGCCAAACTACCTTAATCGCAATACAGTAACCCAGAATTTGGAACTCTCCAAAAACTGAGGATCTCGTTGGAAAGGCAACCACGAAGACACGATGAATCGTCATCAACCAGTTGAAATAGATTGGTGTCAAGTAGCCCCATGTAGAGATCAAGGATAATTGCTTACCGAAGAACTGGCGGTATTCTGAAGTTCTGGGTCATACGGTATCAATCTGAAAGTTCCCAGCTAACCTTCATAACCATCTTCCCCATTGATCCCGCTGGAAATCACATAACCATCAATGAGGAGCAAATGGGAAGCTTTATTTAGGATTCCACAAATGGTCATACAGAGAATATATACAGTGGGAGTGTCGTCTTTCTTTTTGGAGCGTTTCTTGGCGACTAGATACAGTAAGGATACATCATAGCACAAAAGGAAGAGGACAAGGGTCGAGAAGGCTATATGGGAGAGTCGGAGGGGCATTTTGAGAAGAAAATCTAGAAGAATCTAGAAAGGAGAGGGAGCTAGAGATTCGGATGATTTATGGTCCAGCTTGCTTCAAGTAACCGAAGCGCTGACAGCTGTAACTCCAACTTTATTGCTCTCCTTCCAGCCAATAGCGTTGAGGAACAAGCGTCTGGTGCTCTTCGTGACCACGAAATAGACCATAAAGTTCAGCGAGGCGATTGCAAAGAGTCTCAGCATATACGACATTGATTGAATCTCGATAGGGAAGCTTTCAAAGTGTTCCTGGAAGATAAGGGTTGGGAGGTACCGTACTTGCTCTAATAGAAGCCCGTCAACTTTGAGCTCAATTATATCGATTCCTGTGAAAGATATTGAAATTCTGTCGACTGATAAAATGTTTGCCATAATATCAGCATCATTTTATCAGTAGACAAAATTTTGATAGCGTTATCAGAAATCGAGATAATTGAGTTCCAAGCTGAAATAAAGCAATCCTTACCGGAAACCATCTGAGATGAAGATAGATGAGCTCATAAACTGATAGATAAATAACTATGAATGACACTTGACGAATCATGGCTGTCTCACGTTTCACCTGATGGTTGGTGGTATCTGATCCATTTTTATTGGAAAATTTCCGAACTACCAAGTATACAACCATCAGGGCCACAGATCCAAACTGCACGTAGATGAGATACATGTTTTGGAATAGGGTGATCTGAAACATTATCTTTGTTCTAGCTATACAAATCAATCTTACTGGATGCCGTTCAGGATTACATGCGGATTCCAATCTGCTCGTCAAGGCTTTAAAGTTCATAGTGCAGTCGGAATAGAAGGGGATGAGGAGCCACACCAGGATGACAATAGCTATCAGGGAGCTATAGATGAGCAATTTAGCCTCATTGAAGAATCTAGCAGCCTTCATAGGAGTGACAAAGATAACGATTCGATGGATAGTCATGAGCAAGCTAATGAACATTGGGAACAGATAGGAGAAGGTGAAGATCAAGGTAACGAGTTATCCCACAGCTTGTCTGTACACCTCATATCCGATGTTGAGGAATTCGACAATTGGCCAGGCCACTACCATGAACAGTATGGAGACCTTGCTGATGAGACCACAGCTAGTCATATAGACTATATAGGCAAACGGACCTTTCTCCTTTTTGAAGAATCTCTTGTGGATTACTGTACCAAGAAGTGTGCCATCGTACAGCAGGAAAAAGATAATGGTGATGAGGAATAGGGTTTGAGAGGGGAGTAGGGACCAGAGCACCGGCATCTACTGAAGAGGGAGACTTCAGATTCTGAAGCCTTCAGAATACCTTATATGGAAAGGACTATAGTAGTAGACTTCTACCGGAAGAGGGTGACTTCAGAATGAAGGCTTCAGATTCTGAAAGCTTCAATATAGTTCTGGAAGTGAATGAAGGAGGGTGGAGCTTTTCCGAATCACGAGTCTCGGCTATCACCTTGGAATGAATGAGGTGCTCCAGAATTCTGGTTCCAAAAAGTTTGGAGCACGAGTATCTGTCTTTTTAATCTATTTTTTGTGTGACTTGGCACGAGAACTAGAGAATATAATGACGAATTTGGATGAGGAAGTGGTGAATGAATGGTTTATTAGAATCAATTCTTAACAGCAAAATTGTTAGCAGTCGTTTGACTTAGACTTGCATTCCTTTTGGCACTCATCTTCTTGGAATTCCATCCCAATTGAGCCAGAACGAGGCTCCGAGTGGATTGGGTCAGCACGAAATAGATGAAGAAATTCAAGGATCCGACTGCTAGGAGACGCAAGTCGTAGGTGATAGTTTGAAAGGCAAATGGCATAGAGCGGAAGGATTCCTGAAATGCTTAATGAAGATTACTGTACCCAACCTAACAGTCTTACGGGATAGAGTCTTGTATGCAGGTACAGCACTTCATAGACCGACAGATAGAATCCTATAAAGAATGCCTGACGAATCATTGCATTCTCCCGCTTCAATTGGCTATTGGACATTGCCAAGGCGAAAACTGAGTTCTTCCAGAACTTTCTTGATATCCTTTGTGCAAATAACAATAAGGCATTCACACCCATAGACAAAATTGGAACATATATCAAGTACTTGTTCTGAAACCATGTAACAGGGTGTCTATCCGGCGCGCACGCTGATTCAAGGAAGCTTGTCAAGGCGTTGAAGTTCAAAGTGCAACTGGACACTTGTTGGACTAGAAGCCAGTTGAATACTAGGAAGCAGACAAGGATACAGTAGGCAGCGACTTTGATGTCTGTGAACCATTTGGTGGATCTCATAGGGGACAAGAAGATGAGGATTCGGTGCAAGGTCATCATGCAGTCTAGGAATAGAGGGGTTAGATAGCAGAAAAGGAAGATGAATGTGACATAGGAGCCCAGGAATTGGCGGTATTCTGAAAATAAAGCAAGCTATAGTATTGGGCAACGAGACCATGTATAGTGAAATATATAGTACCATATTTATAAAGGAATATGTAGTACCATGTGTAATGAAGTAGATAGTACCAATTGCTATATATTTAACCATACATCATATCGTTCTTACTAAAATGATACTGGTTTTACTATCTATGGTACATTACATATTTCGCTATATATGGTACTATGTAGTTTACTATGCATGGTACTACGTATGGCACCATACATGGTACCATATACTTTATATAGTACCATATACGGTGCTATACGTGGTGCTATTTGTTCCGCTATATATGGTACTACATAATGATGTGTATGGTGATGTATGTTTTACTATATATGGTGCATAAATCCAGCTTACTCTCATATCCCCCGTTTGGTACAAGCCACTCAGCCAGTGGCCATGAATCCACCATAACGATAGCATTCAATTTCTCGACAATACCGAAACCAGTCAAAAAGATAATATAAACGAATGGTCCTGTACTTCGAGACAGCGACATACGCTGCTTTACAATGCAGTATAGAAGAGTGGCATCGAAGCATGTGCAAAATAGGTTACAAACTGTGAAGATAGCTTGGGCAGAGGTGACGAGCCATTGGAGCATTATGGATATACCAGACTCTGGAAAAAGGGAATGCTCTGGATTGTGACCTCCTAGACGGACGCATTTAGGTCTAGACGGGACAACGACTGTTTTTTAGTAGTACAGACACAATATCAAAACTAGTAAAAGAAATTTTATTAAGGGCTGTAGGTTAGGGTGGCTGGACTCTAATCTAAGGGGCAAACAATTTTTTGTCAACTTGGCGTATTCCTTGCCCCTTGGCGTCAATGAAAAAGTGTCGAGACAAGTGGCCCGCTAATTGAATGTCACTTTTTAAGACACGCTTTTTTCTAGCACATTTCCTGTTTTCAGGGCTTCAAAACAACCCAACGAGACAATCAGAAGCAGAGCATTGGCACGATGCTCAAACAGGAACAATCGAAGAATTTGACGCCCGAGGAGATTAAGGTGAGCTTGATTATCTCGATTTTGAGCTCAATTATTTCAGCTCCTTCAAAAAAATGTTGATTAATTGTCAACTGATAAAATACTGCTGATACTATGAGGACAATTTTATCAGTTGACAAATTCTTGATATCTTCTGAAGGAGCCGAGAGAATAGAGCTCGAACTACGGTATTCAAGTTGACTGAAAAAAATTTTTCAATGTCAATTTTGAGCTCAATTATCTCGGCTCCTTTGAAAGATATCAAAATTTTTTCAACTGATAAAATACTCCTGTTATCATGAGGACAATTTTATCACTTGACACAATTTCGATATCTTTTGAAGGAGCACAGATAATTGAGCTCAAAATACGGTATTCAACTTAATTGGGACAAGTTTTCCCTGAGTCAATTTTGAGCTCAACTATCTCGGCTCTTTTGAAAGGTATCAAAATTTTGTCGACTGATAAAATACTCCTGATATCATGAGGACAATTTTATCAGTTTACAAAATTTCGACATCTTTTGAAGGAGCCCAGATAATTGAGCTCAAAATACGGTATTCAACTTAATTGGAGCAAGTTTTCCCTAAGTCAGTTTTGAGCTCAATTATCTCGGTTCCTTTAAAAGGTATCAAAATTTTGTCAACTGATAAAATACTCCTGATATCATGAGGACAGTTTTATCAGTTTACAAAATTTCGATATCTTTTGAAGGAGCCGAGATAATTGAGCTCAAAGTTGACGGCTTGTAATAGAGGAGATATAAGGGTGATAAGGAAAAAATGAATCAGAGAAAGGGGAGTTTATCAGAAACTTTAGTCTTTTTCGCCTTGACGTTTTTTTTGTTCTGCTTCGTGAGAACCATGGGAGTACATAAAAACATGAGTTTCTCATCGGTAGGAGCACAAAAAAAAAAGTTAGCACCAAAGAAGTTGATTTTAGGGTGAAAAATGTGTGAGAAGCCCGCAAAAAATTTTCCATTGCTCTGAAAAAATGTACTCTCTGATTTTAATGAACCAGTGAACTGGAAATAACTTTGTATTTGGGATTTACGGGAAAATGGTTGCAGGGTTACGGGCCATATATAGGTTATGAATAGGTCATATAAACCAAGGATAGCATAGCAGAACTCGAGAACTACAGAATGATGCTTATTGGGATACTGTATCTTGTTTTTGAGAAAAGTTACAACGCTTTAAAGATATGACCGCGTAGCTCAAATTGTTTTTGGCTTGTAACTTGGTTCATAGACAAGATACAGTATCCCAAATAGTAGCATTTTGTAGCTTTTGAGTTCTTCTACAGTATCCATTATAGATAGCTTAAAAAGATTGGGTCTGAAAGAAGATATACCGTAAAACCTCTAATAGAACGACACCCGGATCGTCCACTTTGAGCCTATATATCTCACTTCTTTCGAAAGATATCAAAAAGTGGTTAACTAGTAAAATGTTTATCAGGATATCAGCAACATTTTACTAGTTAGCCACTTTTTGATATCTTTTGCAGAAAATGAGATATATAGGCTCAAAGTGGACGTTCCGGGTGTCGTTCTATTAGAGGTTTTACGGTAGCTAGATCCGTTTGGGGCCATATGTAGACCATATGTAGTCAATATATACGCCTAATATACGTTGGCTTTATTGATATTGTAAAACTCAAATACTACAAAATGATGATATTTGGAGTACTGTAGCTTGTTTATGAGCAAAGTTACAAGGCTTTAAGGCTGTGACCGCGTAGCTCAGATGGTTTTTGGCTTGTAACTGTAATCATAGCTAAGATACAGTATCCCAAATAATATCATCTTGTAGCTCTCGAGTTCTTCTACAGTATCCATTTTAGATAGTTCAAAAAGGTCGGGTCTGAAAGAAGATATAGCTAGATTCGTTTTTGATCTGTCAGTTAGCCGAAAATCACTTTCTAAAGAACTGCTTAGAAAAATAATAAAAAATAGACTATGTATAAGCCGTAAAAGCCATATGCTTTTGGGCTAACTGGAATTGACCTTATCGAATTCGACGAGCCCTACAAAATGATGATAATTGGGATACTGTATATTGTCTGTGAGCAAAGTTACAAAGACATAAAGCTTTGACCGAGTAGCTCCGACGGTTTTCGGCACATAACATTGTTCATAGACAAGATACAGAATCCCAAATAGTACCATTTTGTAGCTCTTGGGTTCTTCTACAGTATGCATTTTAGTTGGAACGAAAATATTGATCTTGAAAAAAGCTATAGCCTGATCCGTTTTTGGTCCGTCACTTACCCGAAAACAAGAGATAAAAAACTACAGTAGGGGATACGGTTGTCTCCGACGCCGGACATTCGCCGCCGGACGTCCGTCGGCCGGTTTTTGGCTTATAACATTTCTCATAGACAAGTTACAGTAATCCAGATAATATCATTTTGTAGCTCTTGAGTTCTTCTATTGTATCCATTTTAGTTGTTTTGAAAATATCAGGTTTAGAAGAAGCTATAGCTAGATCCGTTTTTAGCCTATTTTGGTCATACCCCGCCAATCAAAATCTACAGTATCTCAATTTCAGATCCGCGACTGGACCCAAGGAAAAGAGCGTAACATTCGTGCGCTCCTGGGCTCACTGCACAACGTCCTCTGGGACGGAGCCGATCGATGGAATCAACCGTCGATGGGTGATTTGTTGACGCCAGATCAGGTATGTACCTTGAGCTGTTGGACCCTGAAAACCTGAAAAACCTGAAATCCCCATTCCAGATCAAAAAGCACTACCGAAAAGCGTGCCTGGTGGTGCATCCCGACAAGCTGACCGGCTCTCCACACTTGCCGCTGGCCAAGATGGTGTTCACCGAGCTCAACGACGCCTACAGCAAATATCAGAATGATCCGTCGACTTTATAAAGGACTTCTAAATTTTAACCATGTTTTTCCCCCTTTGTTCTTGCACCAACCATTTTCCTCTTCTAGTCTTCTAAATCCCTGCTTTCCGTATTATTATTATTATATTTTTGGCACTGTGATTTTCTGTGAATTCCCTCTCTCTCTCCATATTCTTTTGTGAGCTTTTCTTCTTCATTGTGAAATTTTCCCTTTAATGGAAGCCCACCCAGTTGGAGCTCTATTATCTCGCCTCCTTTGCAAGATATGAAAATTTTGTCAACTGATAAATTGTTTATCATAATACTGGCTATATTTTATCAGTTGATAGATTTTTGATATCTTTTGAAGGAACCGAGATAATTGAGCTCAAATTACGGTGTTCAATTTGACTGAAAACATTTTTTCAAGTCAATTTTGAGCTCAATTATCTTAGCTCCTTCAAAAGATATCTGAAATCTGTTCACTGATAAAAGATAGCTTATAATATGATAAACAATTCATCAGTGAACAAAGTTTTGATATCTTTCAAAGGAACCGAGATAATTGAGCTCAAAATTTTAAAGTGGGCTTCTAGAAGAGGATATATTGCTTATAAATTGCTTGATTGCTTCCTTTTCTCTACAGCAAACGACTTTTTTTCCATAAAAACGTTTTCCTTCTCTATTTTTCTTCTTTTCCTGTTAACTATATGTCAAAGTTTCAAAAGTACTAACCCGATATTGATATTTTGGTGGTTTTGGTGTTCTATATCTTTTCTTTGTCCAAATTTCGTAATAATCCTTTTCATGATGTCATATTTAGCGGAACGGAAATTTCTCCTATATTTTGGTGATTGATGTCTTTTAGGGGAATAATTTGAGACTTTTTTATAACTTCATAGCAGAAAAAATAGAAATTTGATATGTATTTTCCGGCGGGGTCTTCAAGAGACTGATAAGGAAATAGTAACCCTTGGTCTCTTCCGTAATAATACAAAAATTAAATAAAAAACTTTAAATTAGGACTATGGACCGGAAAGTTCTCTATTATAGTAATAGTGAAATTTGAGTCCCGTAGAAAATCGAGTTTTCAGTTTTTTGAAGGAATTTGACAAAAAAAGAAGGAGAATCTTCTGAAAAATTCTGAAATATTTTAGTTTTCCCTTTTTTTAAAGTTTAATTAAATTTCCACAAATTACACATCCTTTTTTAAAGCCGATTTATCTCGATTACTGTAAAAGCTATCAAAAATTTGTCAACTGATAAAATGTTCCTGACATTATGATAAATATTTTATCAGTTGACGAATATTTGATATCTTTTACAGGAAATCAGATAGCAGAGCTTAAAGTTGACGATTTGAAAGGCATACTATTAGCGTGTTTACCGGCGGAGTACTCTGCAAAACAATGTTCTAGGTACTTTAACTAGTCAGAAACCATTTCCATGCTCAGTGGTCGCTAGGAAGGGATGGAAGAAAAAGACAAACACTATTCTTTGTTGTTGTTGTTTTTTTTTGTTCGTTTCTTTTTCTATTTGTCCGAGTCAGTCCGACCCCCTAGACATTCGGACTCAGTCATATCTCTCATTCTTGTTTGGATGTTCTTTTTTTATCCCAAAATTGCTCAGTTTTTTTTTCCAATTTTTCTACTTTTGTTGTAGAAAAACTCACAAAATATGGCATTCACCGGACTCAACTGGGATCATGTGAAAACAACGTTTTGGGAGGCGAATAAGATGGTAAGAGCTTTGGCTGAAGAGAGAGAGAGAGAGAGAGAGAGAGAGAGAGAGCATGGCGCCCTTTGGAGACGCAGAGAGGCTAGACAAGTAAACAACGGCAAAAACATTATGAAAGGCATAGAACGTCAAGCGAAATGATCACTGGTGTCTTATATTGAAATAAGGGGTGTTGTTGGGGGTATAGAGGACAAAATGTGTCACTGACTGTCCTGTTGTTTTCTCCATTTTTGGTTGGTTGTTTGGTGTTTTTGCGTTTTTTGGGCTTTTGAAATGTTGAAAATATGACTTTTCAGGCTTTTCGAAATTATTTTGTGGATTTTTGAAATGATATAACAAACCTGAAAATACCAGACCATGGTCTCTCACAGAACGAATACGAACTGCATGTTTAATTGCGATCTATCATAAAAAATTTGGTGTGACAGGTTTGATTTTATAGAGATTCAAGATGATTCGATAGATTCATATGGTCCTTTTCCGGGATTTCGAAAAACCTCATTTTCAAAGTTTTTGTATGGACAAACTTTTGATTCTGAATTTCTGAGTTTCTGAGTTTCTGAATTTTTGAATTTTCGAATTTCTGAATTCACGAATTTTTGAATTTCTGAATTTCCGAGTTTCTGAATTTTTGAATTTTCGAATTTCTGAATTCACGAATTTTTGAATTTCTGAATTCACGAATTTCTTATTTTCTGAATTTTTGAATTTCTGAATTTCCGAGTTTCTGAATTTTTGTATTCCTGAATTTCCGAGTATCTAAATTTTCGAACTTCGGAATATCTGAATTTTGAAATTTCCGAGTTATTGAATTTTTGATTTTTCGAATTCATGAATTTTTGAATTTCTGAAAATACTGAATTTTCGAATTTCTGAATTTCCGATTTTCTGTATTTCTGAACTTCCGAGTTTCTGAATTCCTGAATTTTGGAATTTCTGAATTTCCGAATTCACGAATTTTTAAATTTCTGAATTTCTGAAAATTTTGAATTTTTGAATTTCGGAATTTCTGAATTCACGAATTTCTGATTTTTTGAATTTCTATATTCCTGGGTGTCCGAATTTCTAAATATTGGAATTTCTGAATTTTCGAATTTCTGAATTCCTGAATTCACTACTTTCTTATTTTTTTGAATTTTTGAATTCCTGAATTTCCGAGTATCTAAATTTTCGAATTTCGGAATATCTCAATTTTGGAATTTCCGAGTTACTGAATTTTTGATTTTTCGAATTTCTGAATCCACGAATTTCTTATTTTCTAAATTTCTGAATTTTTGATTTTCTATATTCCTGGGTTTCCGAATTTCTGAATTTTGGAATTTCTGAATTTTGGAATATCTGAATTTCTTAATTTCCGAGTTTCTGAATTTTCGAATTCATGAATTTCTAAATTTCTGAATTTCTGATTTTCTGTATTTCTGAATTTCGGAATTTCTGATTTTCTGTATTTCGGAATTTCTGAATTTTTGAAGTTTGGAATTTCTGAATTCACTACTTTCTTATTTTCTGAATTTTCGAATTTTTGAATTTATGAATTTCCGGGAAAAATGGCATTTTTTGGAATATTTTCTTCCTGAAAAAGGCCATACCGGAATTCTAGAATCATTAATTAATTTTAAACTTATACCTTATTCGAATCATCTTGAATCTGTACAAAATCAGACCTGCCGCACCAAATTTTAACTCATGGTAGATCAAAATTACATTTGCCGTTCGTAGACCTGAGCGCGATTCTTCTATTGAATCTGCCTCAAAATGTCCTTTCCAGCTAGACTCAATGGTTACAATGATTGCTCGAAGCAGCGGGAGCCGTGAGAGCTCCGCTGAGTCGAGATCGTCGGGAAGCTCGTCGGACGGAGCACTTGTCGCAGGTCCTAATGGCAAACTCGTCATGTTGAAACGAAAAAGTACGGATGAGGATGAGGAGGACGGGGCAGCGATGTCTAAGAAGCCTTGTCTAGAGAGCGATTCGGCGTCAGAGAGCTCAGAAGCAGAGGATGCCAAAGGGTCGATTAGGTAGGAATCTGGGTTATTTGGAAATCTGGGAAAACGTGGATTTCTGCGCAAAAACAGCTTTGAGTTAACTTTTAACACAAAAAATATGACAGCTGAAGTTGCCTTTGAGCCAAAAAAAGCGAAAAAAGACAGTTACAAGTAAGTACCATGAGCACTAACGTAGTTCAAACGCGCATAACTTGAGCAGCTGCGAATTTAAACAACTTTTCCCGGTTTTCAGATTCCTCTCCTCACTAACCAACGTGATAATGAGGCCCGCCCAAAAAGCAACGTCTACATACAGCGGCGCCGATGAATGGGTGCCAAAGGAGATGGAGGAGATCGCCGAGTTCCCATTGGAGTCCATTGACAAGTATAAGAAAGTGCATCCGAACGCAGAGGCGCCGAAAAAGTTCATGCTGGTTAATGGGGAGTTCGCGGTGGTCGCTAGTTTGGAGGTAAATTTCACTATATATGAAATTCTATTTCCGTTTCCGTTTTCCGGAAAAATCGACAATTTTTTTCAGCGAAAACGGGAAAAAAATCTTCAAAAATCGGGCGGAAAACGGAAAACTAAAACGGAAACGGAAATTTCCAATTTTTTGTCTATTTTTCCGGATTTTTTTTCCCATCAAACATGAATTTAATGGTTGAAGACTATAATTGTCTCACTTTTCATGCTTTTTTCGAGCCAGTTTCAGTTCGATGTTTTCGTCAACTTTTACATGTTTTTTTCCGTGCAGTCTTCAAACGTTAAATTCATGTTTGATGGGGAAAAAAATCCGGAAAAATAGACGAAAAATTGGAAATTTCTGTTTCCGTTTTAGTTTTCCGTTTTCCGTTTTCCGCCCGATTCTTGAAGATTTTTTCCGTTTCCGTTTTCCGCGGAAGAAATTCCCCTTTCCGTTTCCGTATTTTGGGAAAATGCGTTTCCTCCCATCACTGATATATGGTACTGTATTGTTTTTTATTTAACTAAACAATTGTCAAACTTTCGGAATTTTCAGAAATTTGGAATTCACGAATTTCAGATTTTATAGAACTTTTGGATATTTAGAATATACGAACATTTTTTTTAATTGAAGAATATAAGAATTTCAAAATTTTCGATTTTTAAGAATTTTAGAATTCCAGAATCTCGGAATTTCGGAATTTGAGAATTTTCGGAACTTTAGGATTTTAAGATCTTCCAGAACTTCTGTAATTTTAGAATTGTATAGTTTTCGGAATTTCTGAGCATTAAAGTCATATATCTTACCATGCATAGCGCTATATATTCCACTATATATTTCGCTATATATGGTACTATATATGACATTTCAGAAGCTCACTGAGGAGCAAGCGTTGAGAGCACAAGAGAACTCGCCACACCAACACAAGCATCACGATTCGAGAGAAGAGAGATTGACGAAGAACGAGTTGACGGATAATGAGGATCAGAAGAAGAAGAAGGAGAGAGAGTACTGAAAAACAGATTTACCGTAAAACCTGTAATAGAAGGGCCCTCTAACTGTTGACTTTGAGCCAGATTATCTTGGTTCTTGTCAGAGATATCAAGAAGTTGTCAACTGATAAATTGTCTATCACAATGGCACAAACATTTTATCGGTTGACATATTTTGATATCTCGCATAGGAGCTGAGATGATTGAGCTCAAACTTGACAATGTGGGAGTCCTTCTATTACAGGTTTTACGGTAGTTGCCTTTTTTAATTCTAAAAAAAGTTTCAGAGCCAAAGAAGAGGAAGAGGCGAAGAAAGGAGAGAAGGTGCTGTACCATTTGGCGATTACACTATTCAACGAGAATAAGGAGAAATATGTGATGTCGTTGTTTAGAAGTCATAAGGTTTGGCATTTGAGAGAAAACCTCTAATAGAAGGACCCCTTCCTGTTAAAGATATCAAAAATCTGTCAAATGATAAATTGTTTATCATAATATCAGAAGTTCTTTATCATTAGGGCCCTTCTATTACAGGTTTCACGATGCTTAGTTCAACGATACGAATTTACAGCTTGCCGACGTCGTGGCACTGTGCGAGAGATGTCGTGAGAATCCAGAGCTATTCCGTGTATTTCCAAAAAGTAAGGCACATCATCATCTCGAAGGCGTTCCTCTAGAAGACGTTCCTCACCACCAGCACAGCTTCTTCTACACTTCATTTTTCGATTTTTCGTCAAAACACGACGAAGATTTGGAGGATGTTGTGTTTGTGACGAGCACCGAGAAATGTAGATTTTGAACTATTCGATACCGTAAAACCTGTATTAGAAGGGCGCTTCTATTGTTCCAAAGCACCTCCGGAGTGCCCTTCTATTACAGGGGACCTTCAATTAGAGGGGAATTTCTGTTTAAGGGGGGCCCTTCTAATATATAATATATAGGTTTTACACCTAAGAAGGTCTGAAAATTTCGCTAAAAAAACGAAGAAAATCTAATCAAAAAATGTGAAAAAAGCCAATTTGAAGTTAACCGAACCGTCAACTTTGAGCTCAATTATCTCGGTTCCTATGACAGATATCAAAAATTTGTCAACTGATAAAATATTTATCATAATATCAGCAACATTTTATCAGTTGACAGATTTTTGATATCTGTCATAGGAGCCGAGATAATTGAGCTCAAATTTCTGGTATATAATTTCAAGCCATTTTTCAGATGTCAATATCAAAGAATATCTTCATCTAATCTTCATGGAACTTCGCGACAACATGACCTGGAAATCGGTCCATATCTCATCGAAAATCGGACTTCTGGAGTTTTTCGAGAACATGAGATCACACAAGCTGCAAAAGTATCTGAATTTGATTGTTCAGCCAGAAGGGCTCTCTCCACTGATGATCGCTATTCAAAATGATCAGTGAGTACCTATTTTGAGCTCAATTATCTCGGTTCCTATAAGAGATATCAAAAAATTGTCAGCTGATAAAATATTGCTAATAATAAGATGAGTAATTTATCAGTTGACAGATTTTTGACATCTCTCATAGGAGCCGAGATAATTGAGCTCAAAGTTGATTGTTTTGGTGGGCTGCAAATGGAGCATTTACAGTATTTTTGAAAGTCAAATATCTTAGTTCTTGTCAAAGATATCGGAACGTTTTCAATTGATAAAATACTGCTGATTATATGATAAACATTTTATCAGTTGACAGATTCTTGATATCTTTTGAAGGAACCGAGATAATTGAGCTCAAAGTTGACGGTTAATGTGAGCTTCCAGTAAAGGAAATACGGCAATTTCGAGCTCAATTATCTCGGTCCCTATAAAAGATATCAAAAAGGTTTCAACTGATAAATTGTTCCTCATTTTATAAGCAATATTTTATCAATCGGCAGATTTTTGATATCTCTTACCGGAGCCGAGATAATTGAGCTCAAAATTGACAGGGTTTTGGTGGGCTTCCATCAAAAGAATTACGGTAACTTTGAGGTTGAATATCTCAGTTTCTATCAGAGATATCAAAATTTTGTCAACTAATAAATATTAATCATATTATGAGCTACATGTTATCAGTTGACAGATTTCTGATATCTCTCCTAGGAGCCGAGATAATTGAGCTCAAATTTGACACCTCCATTTGCTCACAAAAATTGCCTGAGCCTCACCAAAAATTCACTCTAAAAGTGAGCAATTGGTATTTTCAGAGCTCATAACTTTTTTTTTGGGTGGGCAAAAATGGTCAAAAGCATCAGAATTGCAGAAAAATACAATCTCGGAACGTTTTCTCAAATGCGCTCCGCTGTGTGAGCAAATGGAGGTGTCGAATTAAGACTCCGTGAGCAGATTTACAGTATCTTTGGAAGTCAAATATCTCGGTTCCTATAAGAGGTACCAAATAAGTGTCAACTGATAAATTGTTCATCCTAATGTCGCCTATACTTTATCAGTTGACAGATTTCTGATATCTCTTATAGGAGCCGATATAATTGAGCTCAAAGTGGACGGTTTGGGTTATCTGCTATTAGAGCATTGGGAGTGTCTTTGGAAGTAAAATATCTCAGTTCTTGTCAAAGATATCGGAACATTTTCAATTGATAAAATACTGCTGGTAATATGATAAACATTTTATCAGTTGACAAATTTTTGATATCTCTTATAGGAGCAGATATAATTGAGCTTTAATTTGACGCTTTGACAGGGCTGCTATTAGAGCATTGGGAGTATCTTTTGAGCTCAATTATCTCGGTCTCTATAAATGATATCAAGAAATGTATAACTGATAAAATATCTATCATATTATGAGCTACATTTTATCAGTTGACAGATGTTTGATATCTCTTATAGGAGCCAAGAAAATTGAGCTCTAAGTTGACGGTATCTGTTGGCTTTCATTGGAAAAAAAACAGTAACTTCGAGCTCAATTAACTCGGTCCTTATGAAAGATGTCGAAAAATGTATAACTGATAAGTTGTTTGTCATATTACAAGCTATATTTTATCAGTTGACAGATCCTTAATATCTTTGATAGGAAGCGAGATAATTGAGCTCAAAAATTAGAGCGTATACGGTAGCTCTTCTATTCCAAAATTCAAGTTTTTCCAGACAAGAAACAGTGCGCTGGATGGTGGAACATGGCGCCGATCTCAACACCATCACTTCCGATGGTCAGAATGTGCTCCATATGGCTGCGACGATTTCCAATGGAGAAATTCTCAAATTTCTATGGGACACCAACAAGTGCGAGGCGATGATCAACAAGACAGATGTGAACGGATCCACGCCTGCCTACAGTGCTTTCTCCAGTGCCTGTATCACGAATTGGCAAATGTTAAGAGGACACGGAGGAGCCCTTCAATCTACTGAATCCACCACCAACGCCACCCCATTCATTGGAGCCATGAAACGTGGCAAATTGGATGAGGCATCGTTGAAGAAGATGCTAGAGCAGAAGGCGGATGGGTTACAGGAAGTGGAGTCGACAACTGGAAACTCTGTAATACACTTTGCTAGTAACAAGAAGTGTCTGATCCTTCTGATGGAGAAGTTCCGTGATCAGACGGATCCTGAAGCGAGGAACAAGTTCCAGCAAACGCCGCTCCACACTTTTGTGATCAATGGGGAGTTGGGTTTGGTGATGACACTGTGTGCGTATGGAGTGGAAAAGGATGCGCAAGATGTGAATGGAAACACTCCGTTGCACTGTGCAGTGACACGTGGATTCACGGAGATCGCCAGGATGTTGTTGTGTCTTGGAGCGAAGCCGGATTTGAAGAATCGGTATAAGGAGTCGCCACGTCATCTGGCAGCTAGATTGACTGATAAGTGAGTTTTTAGTACCATATTAAGTACCATATATGGCGCAATATGTAGTGTCATATATAGCGAAATATGTAGTACCATATATAATAAGATGTATAGTACCATATACGGTAAGATGTACAGTACCATATATAGTTCGTTTCCAGAAATTAGAATTTTCGGAATTTTGGAATTTTTAGGATTTTCGGAATTTTTGAATTTGAGAATTTCCAAATTTTCGAACTTTCGAAATTTTCAGAGTTTGAGAATTTTGGAATTCTGGAATCATGGAATTTGAAAATTTTAAGATTTTATGATTTTCCAGAATTTCCGTAATTTTAGAATTTTCTAATTTTTGGAATTTGTGAACATTGAAGCTATATATGTTATCATACATAGCGCTATATATAGTACTATAAATGGTGCTATATACGGTACTTTAGACACTTCATCATGGTACTACATATGGTACTACATATTCACTATATATGGTACCATATGTTTTACTATATATGATACTAAATATATTTTTCCAGAGAAGCAAAAATGGACATCGTTCGTGCGTTGATCATCTGTGGAGCTCCAGCATGCGACGACGGATTCGTTGGATGCGCATTCGGCTGCATGCACAATCGAGGACTAACCTCGTGCAAGACCCAACTCGGATCTTCCAGCTCCGACGAGCAAAGTATGGAAGAACGTGTCAAAGACATTCACGTCAGTGAGAACGCCGCGAGCGCGCCATACGAGTTCGTACTGGATCCGGACACCCAACTCGTCGAGGAAGCGTACGCCGAGAGAAGCGAGACGAGAGCCTATCCACATGAGATGGCGTTGGAGCGAGTGAAGAACAAGTTGAAAGATCTGATTGAGAAGAAGAAGACGTCGAATGTGATCAACGTGCTGGGACTGGACGGTGGTGGTATCCGTGGATTGGTTACCGTACAAATGCTCATTTGCCTTGAAAGCTATCTAGATCGACCGCTTATCGATTATTTTGATTGGATTGGTGCCACGTCGACAGGGTGTTATATTATGTCGACACTGATGACTGGAGGATCGTTGAGACATGCTCAACAGTACTATCTGATGTTCAAGGATCAGTTATTCGATAGTTGGACCAGGCCATATGATACGAAGACTTTGGAGACGTTTATCAAGCGATCCTTTGGAGCAGATCGTCTGATGGGTGATATCAAGTATCCGAGGTATAGAAAATGGCGAAATCAGGTTTATATAGTACCATAGATGTTTAGTGAAACATGTAGTACCATATATAGTACCATATAAAGTAAGAATGTATACAGTGCCGTTCTGGGACTTTATATCGTACTATGTATGCTATATGGTACTATATATTTCCCCATATATGGTACTCCATAATTTACCAAATATGGTAATATTTATTTTACTATATATGGTACCGTATATTCCACCATGTATGGTTATATATATTTTACCATATACAGTACTATATAGTTTAATAGCTATAATACCATTCAGTTTACTATATGGTATTGTTTATTGTACCGTGTGTGGTACGGTATATTCTATCATGTATGGTACCATTCATTTTACTATATATGGTGCTGTATGCTTTGCCATATATGGTACCGTATATTCCACCACTTATGTATGACACTATAAATGATCCGACCGGTACTGTATAAAACACTTTCTAGATTCTTCTGCACCACAGTTCGCGCTGATACATTCCCCGTTCAATTGGATTTGGCCCGAAACTATCGTCTACCGATTAGTGATAAGGAAAACAAGGATTTGGGATTCACAGATCCAATGGGTACTATAGATTCAACGTCTTCTGAATTACTAAATTGTGTGTATTTTTCAGAACTCTCCATGTGGCGTGCAGTTCGTCGTAGTAGCGCGGCTCCGACCTATTTCTCGGCTTCCGAAGGCAAATTCATCGACGGTGGAATGATTTCCAACAACCCCGTGTTGGATTTGATGTCGGAAATTTGCTTCTGGAACACGACGTGTCAGAAGCAGCAGCTCATCGACAAAATCGTTGATGTTGGATGCGTTCTGTCGGTTGGCACGGGAATCACACCGATTTGTCCGGTGGATCCGTCGGTTTTCGAGATGAATGATTGGTTGGGCATGCTACGTGGCATCAAGAACTTGTCGCTGGTGGTTATTGATCAGGTATAAAGAGATCAGGATCTAAAATCTTTACTATTAACAATCACCAAATTGTGGTGTGTGTCCGTTCGTTCGTTCCCGGTTAGCGGACCCTAGCGAAGTCCTCACTGGACCAAAACTTCTCGAATTTTCACAGATAATCTTAAATAGCAGCTAGATGATGCCCGAACTCTCGGTTTTCGAAAATTTTGATTATGAAGCCATCTGAAGATATCCTTGTCTTAAATAAATGAAAAAATTTAGGCGACAGCTACAGAGGGAGCTCCAATCACCAGAAGCCGAAGCTGGTGTCACTCGCTGGGAATTCCCTATTATCGATTGAACGCTCCAATCTTCAAGGACGTCATTTTGGACACCAATGACGACTACGACCTAGCGAAAATTATGTGGGACTCGGTGGTCTATTCGCATACGCACAAGTCAGTGTTTGTCATACTGTATTAGTTGGAAAACCTCTTTTTTCCAGAAAAGACTTCCAAGAACTCGCCGAGCTGCTGAAGACCGTGGGAACTGTCGATGAGAGAAAGGAGTTGCTGAAAATTTGAATTCCCGCTTCTTCTTTATTTGTGTAAAAATAATATTTTTAATGTTTTCTTCCCCCTTGTTAGCTTTACCAAAAACTGCCGGTTCTTTTTTACTTGAGAAACAAAATTAGATATTATGATAAATGCATGAACATCAATGTTGAGCGTAATCCCGTCTTTCCATCTTCCGTGGTTTTCTTCGTTCCGTCTTCCATCGAAAAAAAAAAATTTAATCTTTCAGAAGCTGCCGAGCGAAAAATATCGATTTTGAAGGTAGTTACGCTTAGTGGCCTAGAAAACAAGTTTCTTGAAAACTAGGTCATGGTGTACATGGTTCTATACAGCACCCTTCAAGATTTCCATGTCAGTTTTCGGATTTGGAAAATATCGATTTTGAAGCGAGTTATGGCAATTTTAGTTCTGGTGGCCTAGAAATCAAAACTAGGCCACACCGCCCTGAATTTTAAAAGATCATAACTCCCTTCTAAATCGATATTTTTCAAATCTGAAACCTGTCATGGAACTCGTGAAGCATGCTCTTTCGAACAATGTACACCATGGCCTAGTTTTCAAGAGACTTGGTTTTCTAGGCCACCAACTTAACATGGGTGTAACTCGCTTCAAATTCGATGTTTTTCGAATCTGAAAACTGATATGAAACTCTCAGAGCATGTTCTTTCGAACCATGTACACCATGGTCTAGTTTTCAAGAGACTTGGTTCTCTAGGTCACTTTTTTTTTATTTCTTCCGGTTTTTTTTTATTTCTTCCGGTTCTGTTTCAGGTTCCAGGTTGACAGTCATTTCTGTGGAAGATTCTGGAAAAATCGAATATTGAAATAAAACGCAGTTGATTGAAAATTCTTCGAAAACATTTGTTTGGCGACTTTGAAAGGGAAAAAAATGACAAAAGAAAAAATACAGTACTTCAAAGGCGCATGATAAAATTCTTCACTCGGTTTCGGAACGATTTTTTTTCATACTGTAAAAAATGTTTTCGTGCAAGTAGTTTTTAATTTGCACTGTCTCCAAAATTCCTGCAGAATTCGAAACTTGAGTTTTTCTTGGAAAATTTTTGCTTAAAAAGTCAATAAATTAGTTTTTTGCTGAAAATTTCGGTGAAAATGCATTTAAAAAGGATTATTTTCACCTAAACTACTGTCCCCAAAATTCTGCAAACACCGAGTGTGCATGCATCGTTTGGTGTACGTCTACAGTAACCAAGTTGAAAAATGATTCCGTTTCTTATTAATTTTTCCCAGTTTTTTCGTCGATTTTAGGATATCTTTCGGGGAAAATTCCCTCTCGCAAAACTGAAGGACCTAAAGGAGGCGATGGAAGGTTTGTGCTTATTCTTAATTTGTTGATGTTTCCCGATCCTCCGTGATCCATTTCCTCCCACTCTGCCACTTCCCGCTCATCTTCCTCCCCCTATTTTCTCTTCTCTTCCCTTTTCTTGGCATTCTGCCAAATCCGTCCCGACTAGTCACTCACCAAGACCACTTCTTCGTCGTCTTCTCATCGATTTTCTCTCGCCAGAGAGACGAAGACATGAAGAAATAGTACATGGAGCCGAGAGACCGCGCGTGTCTCTCCTTCTCTCGTTGTGTCCCCCCGGCTGTGTCCATTATTTGTATTCCGACCCACCGACAACCGCCGCACACTCATATTCTTGTGTTCCTTTCTTTTTTTTTACGTTTTTTTCTCTCTTTTTCTCTGCAACTCTCCCTTCCTTATCAGTGTGATTATGTATTCATAAAGAGGAGGTCATTAGTCAATTTGAAAAAAAAACTATTCAATTATCCGGAATTTATCGATTTTCGACCGAAAAACCGTTTTCAAGCTGCCTGCCACGTGGATTTTCAAGCTTTTTAGCTCATGTTCTACTTTTCTCGGTTTTTTTTTTCGACTGTTCCTGATGTTCTTAGTGTATCTAGCCTCGAATTCTCAATTTTTTTTTGGATTACTCGTTTCTAGCTCTGTTTCTGATCAGTTTAGCCTGTTTCTAGCCTAATAATTGCCCTTTTTTGCTGATTCTTGGCCTAGCTGTTTTGTGGTGATCAGACATGTCTATCACGTGGATTTTCGAACTTTTTAGCTCAAAATCTACTTTTCTGGGCAATTTCTGGCATTTTCAGCAAGTTTCTAGCTTCAAATTTGTCTTTTTTTTCCGATTTTCAGTCTAGTTGAACGCAATTCCCCCGAATATTGGCTCCCCCGACAGTGAATTTCTCATATTCAACCTGTATTTTCCATCCATTTTCCTCCTCCCTGTGTCCACTTCCCTCTGCTCCCAGAAGTCCTAAATTTCCTCAGTTTCCAGAAATCATGGGCGACGAGTACTCCGAAGAGTCGAAGCAACAAGGTGTCAAGCGTCCACAGGACGCTTCCGACGGTCCGGCCAACAAGAAGGCGCACTTCGGACAGGAGGAAGAGGGTGGCGACCATCTCTCCATCAAGATCCTGATCCCATCCAGCGCCGTCGGTGCCATCATTGGAAAGGGTGGAGAGGCGATGCGAAACCTGAAGACTGACAATAATTGTCGCGTTCAAATGAGCAAGAACAGCGAGACGTATCCAGGAACTTCGGAGCGCATCTGTCTCGTCAAAGGACGTCTCAACAACATTATGTCGGTCATCGAGTCGATTCAAGACAAGATCCGCGAGAAGTGCGCTGATCAGGCTGGCAGCGACGCTTTCGATCATAAGAACACCTCTCGTGGAAATGAGATTAAGATCGTTATGCCGAACACCTCTGCTGGTATGGTTATTGGAAAGTCTGGTGCCAATATCAAGGATATTCGTGAGCAATTCGGGTGCCAGATTCAAGTCTATCCAAAGGCCGGATCTGTTGAGGCGAAGACCTCGTTGGAGAGAGTTGTCACTGTCGCTCATGACGAGTCTGGGGTAAGTGTCTTTCTACAATATATAAGAATCCACGCTTCACATTTTCAGGCTCTTCTTCAAGCAGCTTCCCGTGTTCTCGAGAAGGTCGCTTCAGACCCCCATCACTCTTCTGAAATCAACAAAGAAGACTTTGGCAAGGCACCCTCCAGCAACACGCCATCCGGCGGTAACCAATCCTCAAACGCTCCGTTCCAACAGGCTCCGGCGTTCAACGGTGGCGGCGGTCAAGGTGGAATGAACGTCGGATCCGCCGGATTCGGTGGCGGACAAGGTGGCGGTGGATACGGAAACCAGGGGCAGTTTGGAGGCGGTGGCGGCGGTGGACCACAGTTTGGAAATGGGAATCCGAATGCAAAGTATCCGATGAATGGGTTGGGTAATAATGAGGTAAGACCTCGTAAGAAGAGGGTTTAGAGATCTAGATTCATACAAATTGTCGATTTTCAGTTGCTCTCGTTCTTGGACAACTTGCAATCCACACTTCGTACGTCCGGATTCAATGAGCAAAGTGTGTCGGAGGTCATGCAGGCTATGCAGGTAAAATTGAATCGAAATGCTGAATTTATTACCATTTTTGGGAGTCTAAGGCTCTGTTGTCAAGGTTCCAATGACTTTGAACGTTTTTGGAGCTATTTAAATGAATATTGGAACATTCTTAGGGATTTTAGAACATTTTTTGCGATTTTCGGATTATCTCAGTGATTTTTTAACTGTTTTTAGCCAATTTTGAGCTGCTTCTCATCTATTTTCCAACCATTTTTTAGGATTCTCAGATGATTTTAAGTGATTATGGATCATTTTTAGCGAATTTTAGATCATTCTTACAGATTTTAGGAGTATTTTAAAGGATTTTCGGTCAGTATATTTTCACCTATTTTGGACAATTTTTAGGGATTTTGAGACTATTTCCCGGAGCCTGGAGCCCGGCTGTAATGTTTTCGATCACTTTGAAAATTCTAGACAGCCAAGCTCTAGACTTCTGAAAATTGTCAAAATAGCTGAAAATCGATTGAAATTGACCGTCCTCATCGTTTAAGATCTTCAGATTTCAAATCCCACCCATTCCAGGTTCTCGCCAAGTACAACATCATGGGTCTCGGCCTTGGCCTCGGTGTCGCCGCGATGGCTCAAATGCGTACCGGACAGGAGTCGCAGATTTCGTCCAACCACGGATCGGCTGGCTTCGGCGACGGATACGGTGGCAATCCGGGGGTGCAAGGAGGTGTCCAAGGGGGTCAAGGAGGGCAGGGAGATCAGGTTAGACGACTACTTGATCTGATGGAGCAGGGCGGAGGAGGAGGCGGAAAAAGAGCAGAGGTGGATTATCGAGAGAAGAGACAAGCTGTCAGAAGGCGCAGATTTTAGGCGGCATACAAACTTTTTCAGATTTTTTAGGAATTTCCTTGAATCTTGAAATTCTAAAATTCTCATTTTTTTTCTATCCAAAATCCAAAATCTAATCCCAAAAATCTTGTTTTCTCTGATATCTCTCCGCTCATTTTCCAACACCTTTTCTGGCTTTATTCTTCTGGCTGGCTGGCTCTTTATTCTACATCTTCTTTAATTTCAGTCTTACTGGCGTCGCTGAATCCTCAATGAATCTCTGCCGAACCATCCACATCCACTTCCACATCCATCTCCAATCAAATCTCCCAAAAATTGAAAATTCTAAAAATCTATCTATCTATCTATTCTTCTTCTTCTTAAATTATTGTTTCTTCTTCTTTCTCTTCTTTTTCTTCGCTTTCTTCTTCTCATCTTGAAATAAGAACAATCTATTCTCCAACACACACCAATAAAATCTTGTATAATATACCCAGAAAAGCGAGTTTTTCTTCCTTTACTTTATTCGTTTCTCTCAAGCATCTACACCTTTTTTCAGATATCTCTATTGGCTCCTCTGAAATCAGATCCACGTGGATTCTTTGAAATCTGAAATTGAATTCATCTGAATTTTTTTTGCTTCCAAAATCTATCAATTTTGAAAACCACGTGGATCATCTCTTCCAGGTTCCGAAAAACATTCAAAACTTGAAATTCCCTTCAAATAGGTTCCAAAATCCATGAATTCTGAAATTCCTACATATTGATATTTCAAGGCTAGATATTCATCAAACATGGCAAAAATTCACAAATTACACCCAAAAATTGAGCTAAAAATAATGCATTTTTTAGTATGTCCGCAATCCCCGGTTTCGGTGTTTGCGGACTTTCGCCGACCGTACCCCCATACGATTTTTTTTCATTTTTCATCATTTTCAGACACAATTAGTATGAAATTAGCTCTTTTTAGCTAACATGTTGTTTGAATTCACAATATTTCGAATTCATAATAAATTCCGAATTTTCAGCTATAAATTGCGGTTTTTTTTCTCCATTTTTAGGGTTCTTCTATGGTTTTCTTTCACTACGACTTTTCCGAAATGTCTGAAAATCCACGTGTCTTATCGAAAATGACCGGTATTTTTTCAGATAAATTCCAGATTCGCCTCTTACAATTAAGTTTTTGTTTCCCACACATCAAACCAACAGCAAATTCGATTTCTCTTCTTGAAAATCTCATTATTGCAAACGCGCTCTATTGCTCGATTTCTGAAAGTTTCTCTGTTTTTTTTTCAAATTTTTCCGTTGAAAATCTCGCTCGAATTCCATAATTCCATCATCCCCAATCGCAAAAAGCCTGAAATTTCAGCTCCAAAAATGTCGAGCGATCGCTTGAAGGAGGCCGCCGAGTGCGAGAGAAAAGCCGAGGAATGTATGAAGACGTCGATGATTAAGCTGAAATTCAAGCCAGATTTCGATGGAGCCGCGATGGCGATGGAGCGGGCTTCCGTGTGTTATCGGAATGCTAAGGAGCACAGAAAGGCGGCCAACTCGCTGGTGAAGGCTGCCGAGTACTATGAGCAGAATCGGAATCTGTTTCATGCGGCCAAGTGAGCAGATTTAGCGATTTTGAGTGAAAAAAAGGCATCAAAATGTGCAGAAAATCATGTTTTAGACCAAATTCGGATGATTCTAGACCTATTGTAGCTCAATTTTAGGCCATTTTCGTAATTTTCAGTCACCTTCAACCATTTTTACTGCTACTTCAAAAAGAAATTCGTCAAATTTTGGCCTAAAATTGCAAGAAAGAAACCTAAAATTTTTGAAAAGTTTTCGACTAAAATTTGGTTTTTTCTCCGATTTTTCGCAAAATTTTAGGCCTTTTTTCCGATATTTTTGTCTGAAATATGACAGGATGGTGTTCTTGACGGAAGATTACTGTAGATTACTGTAGAAAACCTTGTCAAAATGCAGACAAGATTTTCTACAGTAATCTTTCATCAGGAAACATATCCTGTCAAATTTCAGACAAAAATACCGGAAAAATCGAAAAAGAATCTTCAAAAATAGCTGAAAAACCGGAAAAGATCTAAACATTTTGCTAAAAATTGACGAAAAATTTCAAAAATTATAGGTTTTTTCTAGCAATTTTAGGCCAAAGTTTGATGAAATTCTTTATTGAAGATGACTGAAAATCACGAAAATATGGCCTAAATTATGACTAGGATCGTCCAAATTTGTCTGAAATCATCTTAAAAACTGACTTTCTCCGTTTATAGACGAGTTTTGATGGTCTTAGACAGAGTGTAGCCTGTTTTTATGTCATTTTCAGGGCATTTCAATTCATCTTTCAGCTGTTTTGAGCAGTATGGAAATGGAACGAACTTTGGATAAATTTTAAATCATTTCAGATCGTTTTCTGTGGTATTTTTCGATCTAAATTAGTGATTTTTAGGTCAAAAATTGTAATTTAAAAAACGCTATTTTTGAAGACTCTTTTTCGATTTTTCCGATTTTTGTCTAAAATTTGACAGGATGGTGTTCTTGACTGAAGATTACTGTATATTACTGTAGAAAAGCTTGTAGTTTGTAGTTGCAAACACATTCACGTCAAAATGCAGACAAGATTTTCTACAGTAATCTTCCGTCAGGAACACCATTCTGTCAAAATTCCGACAAAAAAAAGTCGGAAAAATCGAAAAAGAATCTTCAAAAATAGCTGAAAATCCTATAAAAAAGTCTAACAATTTTGCGAAAAATTCAATTTTTCTCTCAAAAATTCGCTCAAAATCGCTTAAAACAACTGGAAAATGACTAAAAATAGCTGAAAAAATCATGGAAAATTGCCTAAAAAGGTCCAAACCGGGCTAAAATCGGTCTAAATCAATCATCAAAATTTGTCTAAAAACCGAGGAAACCCCGGTTTTTAGTCATTTTTAGAACATTTTTAGGACTATTTTAAGTTGAAAATTTCTTCAAATTTCGACTCTTTTCGCTGAAAACCCTCTCTGGAAAAATCCTAAAAAAAGAACTTTAATATAAAAATGTCGTCTTCCAGAGCGCGCGAAGGTGCCGGAATGCTTCTCCGCGAGATCAAAGAGTACTCGGAAGCAGTGGCTCTGTTCGAAAAAGCGATAAACGGATACGCAGAGAGTGGAAGTCTAGACACCGCAGCGATGACTGTCGAGAAGGCAGCCGACGTGCTGAAAAAGGACGATCCGAAGAAGGCGTTGGCGATTTATCAGCAGGGATTGGCACTGGTTCAACAGTCGGATCGCACTAAAATGGCTGCCAACTTTTTGAAGGCAAGCACAAAGCTATTCCTTGAATTGGGAGATTACAAAGGGGCACTCGTGTCGATTCGAGATGAGATTGAGAAGTTTGCGGAAGTTCGGGTAAGCCTACAGACTACAAAAACTACAAACTTCAAAAGCTACAATGTTCCAGGAATTCCCGCGAATCGGACAACTCGCCATCGGTCTTGTACTTGTCAATCTAGCAATGGAGGACTCTATTGCGGCCCTCAAGGACTACAGTTGGGCAGTTAGCCTATCCGACGACGTCAAGCATTCTGAAGACGCGAGAGTCTGCGAGAATCTCATTGGATATTATGAGGCTGGCGATAACGAGAGCTTCCAGAATGTGCTGAAGTTGGGAGCGCTGAGATCCATGGACAACGAGTATTTGAGATTGCAAAAAATTCTGAAGGCGCCTGGAGGCAATTCTGGAGGAGGAGGTGCTGGAGACGAAGAGGAAGAGGATGAGGGATTGTGCTAAACAAGTTATTCTAATTTTTTGCCTAATGTAAATACCTAACTTATTGATTTATCCCGCTATTTCACTATTTTCACCCGCTGATGATCTTTAGTCGCTAAATTCATGAGAAATCAAAAATTCTTGTCTGAAAATTTTACATATCACAGAGAAATGGCAAAAAAACGAACATCGGGGTTGGAGGGTTTCTTATACACATGAAATACTCGACAAAAAAATTCTAGCACCGTTTATAGAAAAGGATGTAGGCCAGCTGCGGGTTGACTTGGAATTTCTCACAAGGCGTGACGGTTTCATCGTCGTATCGATGCCATTTGTCGTTGCGGAGATGAGAGGCGACCGAAGTGTAGTGACCGGAATTGAGGCGACCGTTGTGGAGCTGAAAATGGGAATTAATTGTAAATTCGGGACTTTCAAAAAAATCAGAAAGTATAGAAATTTTAAAATTTCAAAAGAAATGTAAATTGATTAGAAATTTCTCTAAAAAATAAAACTAGAAACATCAAAAATTCAAAAAATTTGGAATTTCGAAGATTTCCAAAAATTCCAGAAAATCGAAAACTCAAAAAATTTGGAATTTTTAAAAATTCCAGAAATTCTGAAACTCGGAAATTCAGATTTTCAAGAAAACCAAAATTTAGATATTCGAAAATTCTCAATGTCAAAAACTCAGAAATTCAAAAAATTCCGAAAAATCAGAAGTTTCTAAAAATCCAGAAGTTCCAGAAATTCCCCAATTCAATAATTCGGAAAATTTGAAAATTTCCGAAAATTTGAAAATTTCAGAAATTCAAAAAATTCCAGAAAATCAGAAATTCCCAATGTCAGAACTTAGAAATTACAAATTTCCGAAAATTCAGTAATTCACACAATTCCAGAAATTTCAAAATTTTTAAAAATTCCGAAAATTCAGAAATTCCAGAAAATAAAAAATTCCAGAAAACAAAAAATTCCAGAAAATCAGAAATTCCCAATGTCAGAACATAGAAATTTCAAAATTTCCGAAAATTAAGAATTTTCAAAATTTTCAAAATGTAAGTCTTTGAGTGGCTCTAGAATTCCCCGTCCTTGCTCTAGATCTTTCTTAACTCACCGTAGCCGCATACAACTTATAAAATGGCTTATCCGTCGGCGCCGCCTCATGCAAATAGGGACGAATATCGAAACGAGCGGCATCAAACGCCACCGACGCTGTATTCTTCTCAAAATCCCCGTAGAACAGAGCGAACCGCTTCAGATGGATCACAAGAACCGGCGGTGGTTGCCACAGCTTCGATGTTCGGGTACTGGTACGAGGCGTTTTGCACTTCGGACAGTTCCAGGCCGAGTCACCTTCTAGTTTCTGGAGAAATAGGCGATTAGGATATGTAGAATGACACTAGAAATCTTACGGTCTGTGAGAAATGGGATCGAAGGCAATTGTCCAGTGTGCACGATGTATTCGAAGTGATCTCCACTGACACAATCGTATTCTCTTCGAACGTCGCCGATGACTCGCCACACGTCAAGCATCGAACCTCAGCTACCGTAATCGTCTGGAAAATTTTGTTTCATTTTTGTCATTTTGACATGGTGACCTAACTGGATGATGCTGGGCCTGATTTAGGCCCTATTTTCGTGATGTTCAGCCCTCTTCAACCATTTTTAAAAAGCTATTTCCGAAACGAAGATGACCTAAAAACTGGTTTTTTCAGACAAATTTTGACGATTGTAGACCATTTAAAGCCTATTTTGGGCCCTTTTCAAGCAATTTTGATCTCCTCCCACCAGATATGTTTAGTCTATGAATTTCGCTTTTTTCTCTCAATAAATGGAAAAAAGAGCTAAAAATGAAAATTCAAATTTTCCAGAAAAGAATACGAGGTTCAAATCCTCTCGATCTACGATCAGATGACAATGGCAATCGATCGATCCATCGACGAGCGGACCAAA